TTTTTTTTATTCTTCATCCCCCTTTTCTCTCTCTCTCTCTCTCTCTCTTTCCTATCGACGCGATACGACACGATACGACACTATTTTTGGTAGGATAAAAAAAAAAATCCCAGAAAAAGAGAGATACTTTTTATACCGTCATTCGTATAGTTTTTTTTTTTAACGATTGAAATTTTGCAATCGATGCGGAAAAAAAATAAGAATACGCGTACTACATTTATTAATATTTTCGTATTCACGCAGCACGACGAGATGATAATAAGCGTAAATTTTTGTTTCAGAGTAACGGAAAGAAAGGACAAAAAAAAAATAACGATAAAATATTAGTTTCGACTCGTGTCGGTTTTGAACACGGAACGCTAGTAACTATTATGAAGACGCATAATATATAGGGAAATGCTTTTGAAAATAAAACGAGGAAAAAGATAACAAAAAAAAAAAGTCATCTTGGGAGGAAAAAACAAAGTTGTACGTGAATATGCACGACGTTCCGCGTATGAAGAATAAGAGGATAGGTTGGGGTTGATGTTTCAGTCAGACTTGGCTTACGCGTTGATATTTCGCATAAACGCGAATAGGACAGAACGCTGCAAGCGGAAACAGCAGAAACAACGTCGGTGGTGTATCGTACGGTGCAGCGAAATGCACCTCCCTCTCTCTCTCTCTCTCTCTCTCTCATTCTGTTTCTCATTCTGTCTCACTCTGTCTCTATTGCTTTCCCACCACATTTACTAGGTGGGCGAGGCACCTGCGACCTCTTTCGCTGACCTATATTCCGATGCACACCGCCCGTATTCCCGGCCGACGCGCACCACGATTGCTAACAAGAAAATTCAATCGTCCTGGTCCTTATTTCGTGAACTACGAAAGTTAGACGTGTTCTCTCTTAGAATAAGATTAAGGTTTCACCTACTAGTTCACTTGTTCGATAACTTTTTCCAACTCGTATTTCTTTACTTATCGTAGAAAAAATCTTAATCAATTCATTTGAAATATATTTATTTTATTATCCAGAATACACATTTCCCATAGAGAATATTTTTTTTTATAGTATTATGAAAACAAATATATGATTGGAAGATTTCATTCGAATTCGTTGACTTGTATCGGACGTAATCGAGCAAATGAAATAAAGAGAAAAATTAAAATAAAATATAATATTGTAAGAGAAATGAAATATTGTGTGTAAGATTGATTAACCAAGAACATTTGGAAAATTTCATAAACTCTCTAATAATCAAAGAAACATTCATTCTTTAGCTCTTATTATTTTTTAAATTGATATATATATATATAAGAGACACACACACACACATATATATATATATACGAACGTTTACAACGTATTGTAAAAATATATAATATATTATTATTATTATTTATTAAATAAATATTATTCATTGGTACAGTATGATAACATATGCAATTCTTACTGGTGCGTTGAATAACCACCAACGCACTCATTAATTATTCGTATAAGCGCGAAACGCATAAATTTCTAGTTGCGTGCCAAGCGTTGTTATTTAGTAGCGCGTAATCTGTTTGACAAACGTGGTCAGATTTGACGTAAACGTGGACTCTGTTATACGTACGATAACTCGCCATCTCTTTCACGCACACCGATACACACACACATTCATTATACACACTCCCGTATATACTTAGAATAACCCACACACACATACACACAGATATATATATATACCGATCCTTTCAACGTCATACTATAAAGTCGGCAATAGCTCGTTCGATATTAATTTGGTTAACGTCGTCGTTCCCGACGATAACTCGTAGACGATATCATAGCAACCATCAGTCTTTATGTTTCTCGTGTTATTTCACATAAGACAAATTTGTTGATTATGCTATTTTCCTTTTTACTTTTTTACGATCAACGACCATGTTCTCCCACGTTCGATTATTCTTCGCAATCTGTAATTGACATATTTTTTTTTCCCCCTTTCTACCGAGAAATGTGTTTCTTACATTTTATTATAACACACATAGAAGGATATGAAAATGAAGAATATTGTCTTTTATCGAGCACTCATATGTCATATATATATATATATATATATATATATATATATATGTATGTGTGTGTGTATGTATGTGTTTCTTGTACGAATAAAAAGAAACGTAGAGACGTGCGTCAGCGAACTAAACGAAAACTGGCGAGCTTATATTCCTTCTAACGAGGATTTTATATCACGAACAATAGAAACTCGACTCGAGTAATGATACAAATGAGAAGATTTCAAAAGGTTGGGTTTTGCTTGCGTTTTCAAATGAGCCGTCAGGATTCAGGGTGATGTATAATATATGTACAATTGTCTTGGACAAATATTCTACTAAGGGGAGAGAGAAAGAAAAAAGGGTTAAGTGTTAATAAAATAATAAACTTTTTTCTCGAGGGGATGGGGGGCGGGGGGCGAGGGTATCTTTCAACATTTAAAATCTTCTCAAAATATAAGTATTTTTTAAACGATTATCCTCTATTATATTTCTTTCGATTGTATTATCAAAAGAATATATTCAAAAGAAAAAAAAAAGAAAAAAAAAGAGATTGTTAGATTAAAAGAAAAACGTTTCTTGATCAATCGTTGAGACCGTCGATGTTTCTTCTCGAGAAACGTCGCGTATCGACAGGATAATTATTGGATTTCATGAGTTTGATGGTTACGACACCAACAGTTTCGTAATCTTCCCTAAGCTGTTTGTCTTTTGTAATAACGTTAGCAACAAGGTCGATCGGTATGACGTACGAGTCATCGTATATCGAAAATTCTAATTTGTCGATAATAAATATCTAAACATCTAAAATCATATTAGATATAATAAATAAATCTTTGAAGATTTCGATTGAACTCGTATAATGCACGCGGGGGAAAAAAATAGAAATAAATAAATAAATAAATGAATAAAAAGAGAGAAAAAAAAAGTAAAGGGCAAGGGGAATGTTGTTCTCGTTGTCATAATCATCATCGTTGTCCGACAGATAATATGCAAGCAATCCCGTTCGCGTAAGATAAATTTCAATAGGATGACCCGCATTGGTCGCATTGCAGTACGGGATCTGTTCTCGAGTTAGAGGTAAACGGGGTAGTAGGTGCGATTCCGGGAGAATGTACAACCTTCATGATGTAGAGTTTGCGAAACTCAAACTCTGGGACTCCGGCCAAGTGCGCTTTATCTCCTACCGGAGTTTCCGTTCATCCTGGAAATAAATTAAGGAGCCCCGTCAGACATAGGAGTACATGTCAGCTTAACGCCACCACCCTTACCATTTTCTTCCTCTCATTTCCCTTCCTCCTCTTCCTCCTCCTCCTCCTCCTCCTTCTCCTTCTCCTTCTCCTCCTCCTCCTTCTTCTTCTTCGTTTTCGTCTTCTTCATCATCCTCGTTGTCGTTGACTCGTCATTTTCATCATAGTCGTTAACCTTTCAACGTTGATTACATTTTTAGACGACTATAACGAGGTCATACATAGTTAACGTTAAAACTCACGTCACGTGGTAACCGACGTTCGAGTCTCATATTTTATCGAACGTATCTTATTACCTCTTTAAAACGCTTTCGCCATTTATATATTTTTTCTTTTTTCTTCAACGAATTTTTAACCAAACTATATTAAAGATAACGTATATTTAATAGCTTCGTAATGGTAATACGATAGTAATTCCCAATTTTTCAGATAAAAATATAATATTATATATGGAAATTTGGAAGATAGTATACTCCCCCTCCCCCCACCCTGTTGGTTTTAAGACGAAATTGTATTTTATCCCGAACGAATATATTGTGTATATTGTAATAATAATAATATCTTTTGAAAATAAGCTCATTACAAACGACGCTAATGTTTTTACTTTATCCTCCCTATTTTATCTCTGTCGTCGATTCAACATTGATAAATCCAGAATTTTTCAAACACAAAAGTATCGTCTAACTAACAAGATACTACGTGGATAGAGTAAACGTAATACTTTATAGATATATATATATATATATCATTCTATAGTATTACATTGAAAATCTCTCATAAATATGTATCCCTTTGAAATGTAAAAAAGGCTCTTACGAAAGAGTCAAACGAATGGCGTTAGCTAGTAGAAAGAAAGAAAGTCTAACCATTGAGAGTACGATAGCTAGCTTACGAGCTTCTATACTCAACTGCCTATGTACAGTAGCAAATATTTACCCATCGCACCGATACTTCGACAAAGTTCGATGGAGAACAAATATTGAGCGTTTCGACACGGGAAAAACAAAAGAGAAAGAGAGAGAGAGAGAGAGAGAGAGAGTGATTGAATGAGTATAATAAACGTGAAAGAATAAAAAAACACGAATAGCCGAATTAAATTTCACATTTTTTTTCGTTTCACACAGATATACACACACGCGTTATAGAGTTGACTTGCCCCCTTCTGCCGATGATTTTTTTTAATTTAAAGGATAATACCATTTTGTATCTTTCTCGAGAACGTTTTCAAGCTTGTTGTACATGTCATTTCAAGCGTATTCGGTTTCGTATGCAAAACGTATCGAGTGTACCGAGGAGAAGAGTGCACGCTCCACGAGATGGCGGATACAATTGAGCTTTCACAAAAGCACGAGCCCACCGCTAGCTAGTCTACCGCTAAACGTGCATATACCTACACTTATACGCTTACATACACACACAAATACACACACACAGACAGATATATACCTTAGCTTTTATTTTCATTATTTCAAAGGGAACCTAGTAACGAAGCTAATAATCTTGTTCCGAGTCTCGGCGTCCTCATGCCCGAGTTACCTTTCGATAAACTTCCCCCCGTTCCTTTGTGCATTTCAAACGTGACACCACTCGTTTACAAAATAAAAGATAAATGCTGACTATATATATATATATATACTAACGTATTAATTATTATTATAAAAATATTGTTAGATTTTAATCGTTAATATAAGTGAATTTTCTTTTTAAAATAAAAAAAAAAAAAAAAAAACAAATTATAGAGACAAATTGTGTAAAAAATGTTACAGTGGATCGGCGAGTCATCAATTATCGGCAACCGCTTTATTGGGTAGCCCGGATGGCTCGAGACATCCTCTCGATGTTTGCGAATTCGCGGAAGAGGATTATCGTCATCAAAATGGTAGCGGGAATGGTCATTATCAACATAACAGGCCGGGTACTGGTTTATGGGAGTGTCTCGTAGGATGCAGGTGGAGATTGGATCAACAATTAGCTCGTCGAAGGGTGAGTGTTGTTACTTTGATTAAATATATCTCGCTTTTCAAAATTAATCGTGAATTTTTTCAAAAGTATCTATCTAAAAATAATCAAAGAAAAAAAAAAGCAAATGAAGGAAGTTAAAATCCAATTTAAATGGGGATAATATATCTCTCGTGCGAATATTTGCGATTCGATAAAGCTAATCGAAAAAGAAAGAAAAAAATATACAACGAAATAGAGAGAGAGAGAAATCTCCTCAAGTGCATGACTTTCCCTTTTCGTGAATCGGCACGCTTCTTCGCTTTCGTTACGAGCCCTAGTAGTACACTTATCTCGTTGAATGTGTTGCCACGACTTTATCGGTCACTATCAAGTTCACAACCGTGCCATGGATCGGAATTAGAGTCACGCTATCCTTTCATAAGCGTTCAAACAGAAACGATTCTCGACACAACGGTACAATACCTGCAAATACAACACACACACACACACACAGACACACAGACAATCTAGTATCTAGTATTTATTATATCAACTTCCTCAGATTTATCGATTCCTCTTTTATTTTTCCACAAACAACACGACCATTTCTCAATGTTTCCTATTTCAAACCGAGAAATAGAATTTTTCTACTCCGATATATAGAATTGATTTTCGTTTAAGTTATCGCGACATCTTTGTTACGTCGTTTACAGGAACAGGAAAAATCTTAAAAAAAAACCTATATAAAATACATGTATACATGTGTATAGATGTGTGTGTGTTCTCTTATGGGATGTAAAAACGTGTAAAACATACGTTACCTCAGGAAATTTGTTCTATATCTTTTCTTTAAAAAACACACGTACCATATACACTCACGCAAAATTACTAGTAGTGCACATGTTATGTCGCATTTAGTGGTGTCATTTAAAGCCTCAGTGGATAACAAGTTTGAAGCGAAAGCATTTTGAAAGAGTGCACTTGGGTACCTTCTACGCTTTCAAGGATGATAAAATTGTAGTTGACAATTTTCCCTCCTACTTTTTACTCCTACACACATATAAAGACACATATATTTATAATACGTGATAAAATAGTTGGAAACTCGATAAATTATGTGCAAACTCATTTTCATGAATTCCATAATTTTCTTGCGTTTCAAAATTAACAACTTGTTGATACTACTCTTTTTTAATGAGATATCAATTATTAACAATAATTAATATAACCCGAGGTTCAATTGATTAGCATTTAAAATCAATTTATCTTTAAGAAGATATACATGCAACTTTTTTTTTCTCCCATAGTAGAGTCGTTAATTATTTTCCCGTATATTAAAGGAAAATGCTAATAGCTGTGATGGGACACGCGCGTTTCCCATGTTCATTAATGTCAAGCGAACGCACGTCGGTGTAACTTGTCTCTCAATTTAGACGTTTCTACCCATAAACGTTCTATTTATATTTCATCAGATCGCTCAATCCGCCAGGGACAAAGTTCAGGGTCGAATCGATAAGCATTTTCTCTCGTTTCAGCCCTTATCCAAAGTGTCGTTACACAAATACATAAAAGAACGAACGAACGAACGAACGACGAGCAAGCAAGCAAGCAAGCAAGTAAAGCGTTCGCAGTCACGCGTGTGCCAACTTGCCGCCCCTGAAACTTCTCGTGCGTGATAATGATCCAATAGTAGACTTCATGTATTCTCAACATTATCTTATTCCCTTTATCCTCTATACACATACATTATTAATCCACCCTTTTTATCTGTCCTTCGTTTTCCTCCCAAGGTCCTTAGAAACATTGATTTTAATGACAATGAAAATTTTGTTTTGATTAATTATAGATAAAATAAGAATGCTGAAAATTGTATCGAATTGATAAATGATTTGTTGCATCTAAAACGGTCTTCTACTTTCTCTTGCCTTTTTTTTTTTTTTTTTTTTTTTTTTTTGTTCAATACAGATAATAAAATGAATTCTAAATAAATGTTTGTGTATACGTTTATATTGATTACAGGTAGAGCAAGGATTGAAATTGTATCGTGCTCACAAACAGCAAGCAGCCGTAAGAAAATGGAGAGGTGCATTGAAAAGTATTCGTCAACGCGAGGACAAATTCGCCCTTTTGGGTTACCTATATCAAGCCTATATGGATTGGGGAAAGTACAGGTAACGTTATATATAAGAAAGTTTTCTATACTTCCTTTGTTAAATAAAATATAAAAGATAATTTCGCGTTAATCTATCTAATAGGTATAGAGATACGGTATCTCGATACAAAGTAGCCTAAGCTACTAAATGGAAGATGAATCAAGGAAGGCTCGTAATACTTCATTTGCATAGTATAATTAATACGGCGTATACTTATTAATTCTATACACTTTCTAAGTAATCATTTAATATTCAACGAAAGGTTATATCAAGTAGCGCATCTGTAACGTAGTTTCCAGTTCGATACTGGAACAGCAGACTGTAAATATCTTATCAAAATAATCCACAACGATCCACATTTAACTAAATAATTCATATTAAAAAGCTTCAATTTAATATTTATTTAAAAGAAGATCACCAACGTAAAACACTTAACCCAGCGATCGATCTTTCTTATCTCGTTAAAATAATAAAACCGAATAAAGTTGAAAGAAACGACTGTTCGTCTTAAGAAAAGTTCAAGCGAATTTGTCCAGCAATCTATGAAACCTTGTTTACCGAACGAACTTTGCAAACAACCGATGAACTTTTTTTCTCATCGTTGCGTTACGATGCGGTCCAACTGTTCGTTCCAATAAAAAATAATATAGGTCAGTGTGTCAACGTGTTGTCGTCGTCGTCGTCGATGACGATGACGATTCATCAGTAAAATATTACAACGCGATACAAATCATGTAAAGAAAAAAAAATGTAAAAAAAAAATTTGCAATATTAATTATCTCCGTATGAAAAATGTTGGACTACGACGAGTGATTATTTTTTTTCTTCGAGTAGAGTAAGTCAACGTATAATCGGATGCAGCAGCAGTAGTAGTAGTAGTAGTAGTAGTAGGTAGTAGTTGTTATCGTTTCCAATCGGTTAGACGATCGAACGGATGTAGGAGAATCGTGGTATTCGAATCACGTGCTGCTATTACTTACATGCATATGTATAACAGGGATCCGTAGATGTTGGAGGAAATCAGAGCAAGCCACGCATCTCTACGAACATGCGGAAAATCTCGCACGATAAGACACGTTGGACTCCTCCTATACTATAGACATCGAAAACCACAGATACCTATTGGAAAATACCCTCGAGCATTGTACATACTCAGTGCGAGATAGATAAAAGAGAGAATAAGAGAATAAGAGAGAAATAGAGAAAGAGAGAAACCTAGTACTACACATTACTAACATCACCACTCACCCAAGGATACACGTACATTTATACACATATACATACTAACACATAGCCAACGAAATACAACTCTGACGACGAACAGGAATCTTCTGTTCATTCCTGATAGAAAAAAAAAAAAAAAAAAAAAGAGAAAGAAAATATATTCTTTTCTAACCCACCTCATTATGATAAAAAAAAGAAAAGAAATATCGTTCGTAAGAATATGGGGTACAAAAGATAAAACACCTAAATAAAAGTAATTGATTCTACGCGAGGATGTTTTATTTCGATACTGCTTCTAACCCAAGCATTTTTTTTAGATGTTATATTCCTTTGTGAAGAAGACATTTTTCTCTCTTTTCTTTCTTTTTTATTTTTTTCTTTTTTTTTTCTTTCTTTTTATTTAACAGCTCGTACGAGCCTTGCCCAAGTTTTTTGGTCTCTTTCTCGCTCGTCGTTCTATCTCGATCTTTCTTTTCTAGTCTATCGTTAAAAATAGTAAGAGAGACGGAGGAAACTGGAGGAAAAGAAGTTAATAAAGAGATCGTCGGTAAGAGATAGCATTTATTTCACGAGCCGACAGAGAAAATCCGGCTGGCAAGAGCCGTGCTCGGAGTATCCTTGACACAATAACGTCCTTTTCCAATCCTCCTCATTTCCACCCCTTTCTACTATCTCTCTTTCTCTCTTTCTCTCTCTCTCTCTTTCTCTGTCTCTCTTTTTCTTTCAATGTAGATATGTATACGTATACTCATATCTATTCATAAATGCGGACTGCAAAGTTTACGCGACCTGTTACGGAATCCGCATTTGTCCTTACTTTTCGTTCGTTCGTTCTTTTTCTTTTTCTTTTTCTTTGACATTCTTGTCATTGGATTGAAGAAGGATCTACTACTACTACTACTATTACTACTACTAAACTTCTACTAACGTTACTATCACCTGCTATCGGTTCGGTTGCACGACGAAGCACGCGAGGATAAATTTAGAATCACATTCGAGTGGATTTATTCAATAATCTTGTTCAACGTTCTGTACGAATTTAGTCGTGGAATATTGAAATTTCTCCCCATTTAAGATTTAAATTAACATTTAAAGGTGTTCGATTATATTGGTAAGGATCTATACTGATTCGTACTACTTAAATGTGTCTAATCATTTAATAATCTCCGATTCTCTTACTACTTAAAAGTGTCTGACCGTCTAATAGCTTCCAATTCTTTTACTACTTAAAATTGTCTGACCATATAAGAACCTCCGATTCGTATCACTTAAAACCTCGGATTACTTCAAAATGTTTTATTTTAACGAGAGAAAGATAGGATTGATCGTTTTTATTATTAAAATTAGAATAATAATTGTCCCTATATATGTAATTCAAAACGTTCACACAAATATATAACTAAATTATAAATCTCTCGTTATTATTCTTATCGTTCTATTTCTTTTATTTATTTTTATTTTCTTTCGTTTTCATTTTTTTCCAGAGACAGCATCGACTTTGGTCACAGACAACTTTGCATCTCCGAAGAACTGGATTCGCCTAACATGCGAGCAGAGGCTTATTTGAATTTGGCCAGAGCCCACGAGAGATTAGGTGCATTGGACAGAGCTTTGGAATATGCGAGACACAGGTCGAATATTTGACAATTTTTCTTACAATACGATTTGTTGAATGTTTAATAATGTCATATAGTTTAATCGAAAATCAATGATTAAACTTATCAAAATGTCTTATCGAATGAAACAACAACGAACAATTTTCCGTACCTTCTCTGATAGATGTCATAAAACACACCTTTACGGGATACTCTCGATGAAACGAGAACACATATTTTCTCAATGTCTATCTTTTTCTCTCTTTTTTTTTTCTTTTCCCCTCTCTCTCTCTCTCTCTCTCTCTCTCTATCTATCTATCTGTCTATCTTTCTATCTATCTCTCAACCTTTATCTCTGACACTGTCACTCTTTCTGATTTGAAATATTGGATAAATCGGACGGTTGAATGTTTAAAACGTTTTCGTTTTAAAACGAGAATATCCCATAGAATCGGTCGATGCAAAGCTAATAGTTGTGACTCTACGTCCTCTCGCAGCTTGTATAACGAGTGCGATCAGTGTGCCACTGCTGGATTAGTTCACTTAACCGTAGGCAGAGTCCACTTAGAACTAGCAGGATTCACTAAAGCCTTGGAGGCCTTTCAAAGAGCTCACAAAATCGCCCACTCCATTCAAGATCCTTCCTTAGAATTACAGGTAATTAGACATTCACTCTCTTTTTCTCTCTTTCTTTTTTTCTTTTTTTTCTTTTTTCTTTTTCTCTATCTTTCTTTTTTTTTATTTAACAACTATCTATTTCTTTTTCTATTCATCATTTTTTTCTTCATCTCCTTCCTATACCTTTTCCTATCTTTCTTTTTCTATCTGTCTGTCTGTCTGTCTGTCTGTCTGTCTCTTTCTCTTATTTTCTTTGACTTTTTCTTATTGTTTATTTCTTTATCGTAACATATAAATCGTCTATTCATTTTCATTGATTTTTCTTCTTTATAGAACATATCTGGCATAACTGAGAACGTTTATAAATACAGGGTGACGACTGTAAACTGATAATACGAGCGAATAGAAAATGATTTGATATGAAAAAAAAAAAAAAAAGAAAAGAAAGAAAAAACTAATAAATCGAAGTTGTAGAATTTTGAAGAAAAAGTAAGCTGGATAAAATATGTGTCTTACGTTAGTTTAGAATAATCATTCTTTTGCAAGCTCGTATTACAGAATTACAGAACACTCTGTATAGAATATTCTTCCCTTTGAAACTTGCCTTTTAACGAGCTCTTTTTTTTAGATCTATCGAACTTGGACATATTTGTCGTGTTAATAAAAAAATAGAATCGGCACACGTGTGGTAACATATATATATGTATATATATATATATATGTATATCATATTTTGCCAATTCGATATATAATTTATAAATTTCTAACGTATTATATAAAACGTATAAAAAAAAATGTAAACATGTGCACGCGATATAAAATAATTTTCTTTGAAAACAACGAGAAACACAAATAGGTATTTTTTTTTCGTTCTTTTCGTTTACAGGTATACGTCGGATTGTCGGAACTGTTCTGCAGATTACAGGATACCGAAAAAAGTGCTAGATACGCTGCCAGAGCATACGATCTCTCGCGAAGTTTACAACTTGGCGATTTGAATTCGCGACATCACAGAGCTGCCCTATTACAAATGGCAGCAGCATTGAGAAAAAAGGGCGAATTGGGTGACGCTCATGACTATTGTTCGGTAAAGTATAGTTTTAAGTATAGTTATTTTTTGTCTCCCTTTTTTTTTCTTTTTTCTTTTTCTTTCTTACAATTATTCCTGTCTCGTTGTTTCGCCGCGTTTATTCGAATTTATTTTAAAAAGTAACAAAAGGAAATGAATTTTATTGTGAACAATGTGAATATTGTTAATCGATCTTAACACACGTTTTCGTTTAGGAAGCAACACGACTGTCGCTAGTTTCTGGCGACCAAGCTAGCTACGCTAGAAGTATACGAATAATGGGTGACATTTATCGAAAAAAATCCCATATAAATGTGAGTTCAAGCTATCGTACATCGGCTTTGCCTTTCGATATTTCACGTATTGCTATTATTATTATTATTATTATTATTATCATCACTATTATATATAATACGGCTCCTGCTATCGCCCCGTTCGTAAGCTTCGCATGTTTCCTTCCTATGCTTTCTTATGTCTGTGTGTGTGTGCATATGTATGCGAGTTCGTTTCTAAATATACATGAAAAATACTTTTAGAAAGTTTCTTTGCAAATCGATACGCGATTTTGTCCCATCCTTTGTTAACGACGACAAATCTTTTCTTATTATTGTGGCATAACACGTAATAAAATCAGTTTTATCGATTTATACTATTGCATGATATCGATGACAAATGAAAATTTTCGAAATCGTCGAATTTACAATAATAATCAACGATAAATATTCGATTACCGCGTTTAGGACGAATATTTTGTTTTGTTTGTTTCTATTTGTCTCTTCCTTTTCTTTTTCTTTTTTTTTTTTTTCTATTTTTGTCACGACTCTCTTTAGAAAACGCATCGTTGCAGCATGTCGCATAGTGCATATCGGCTTTCGCAGCTTTGGCACCGAAACGGGCTCAGTTTTGGACGAACGCCGGCTCTCCTATTCTACTAATTATTACGAAAAAAAAGAAAAGAAAAGAAAAAAAAAGGGAGATCACCGAGCGTGAATTTCAGAATTAAGAAGATTCTATTCCGTTCGTGCTAATCATCCATTCGCGTTACTATGAAACAAATATACCGATTTTCTTCTTCAAAAATATTCCATCATTTTTTTTCCGATCGAATCTATTTTCAACGTCAAATATTTCTTCGCTATTTAATAATCGTATATATCGCGAAAATTACAATTACGATTCGTTTCCGAGTGAAAAATTTACTACTCGATGGATGGAAGGAAGTAAAAGAAAAACCCCCCAACAAAAAAAGAAAAATAAAAAAAAAACGAGCTCGTTCAATGTCGCGCGTGAATTTCGACGAATTGGACTCTGTCTTTCAGTTGGCGATCGCCGAAACCGCACAATACAATTAGCCTTTAGTTGACACATTGCGTGCATTGCACCGGAAGTAGAACGATAACACCGGTGAGATGAAGATGGACGTATTGCAGAAGGCGTTTCGCCAGTACGAAAGCGCCATGGGATCTGCCGCAGCTACCGGTGATCGGCTTTGCCAAATGGAAGCGATGGATGGGGTGGCTAGATGTTTCGAGGCTCTCAGGTTGCAGCACGAGATATGCAACTGTCGGCCCCTAGAATTCAATACTCGGCTTCTCGAAGTAGCTGGATCCGTCGGTGCTAAGGTATAAACGATATTGGATCCTCTCTCTCTCTTTCTATCTCTCTCTTCTTCTTCTTTCCTTTCCACTTTTACATTTCAATTCCATCTTAAGCGTGAAATGATTTTTCTCGAGTCGTTTGACCTTCTCCATTTCCTCCTTCACCTCCACCCTCTTATACTTTTTTTTTTCAACTATCCTCCTCGTACGATTTAGCAACTCTTCTACTAGTTGACGAGGTTCTACTTTCGATATATAACAGGTATCATTTTAATACGTAAAGAAAAAAAAGAAGAAAAATGTAATTTAGTATCGGTATCCTTCCCGAACGTTATTTCCAGCTGTTAGTTAGGACCGTAAGATCAAGGCTATCGCGGATTTACGGTTCCTTGGGGGACGAAGAACAAAAAGGACATCACGAGAGACTAGCCGCTGCTATGGAAGAAGATTTAGAATTACGTTGCGGCGGTTGCAACGAACCGTACGGCTTGGAAGCCGATTCCCTCGAGGCATTACCTTGTTCTCACATATTACACGCCAGGTAAAGAGTTTACATCTACTTTTAAAATCCCTCCACGGATCTCTTATATCAACTTACTTATCTTGGAATAAATATTTCCTATCCTTTTCTTTTAACATTTTTCTTTACTTTTTACCCACCTCTCCCTCTCTTTCTCTCTTTCTCTCTCTCTCTCTCTCTCTCTCTTTCTCTATTTATTTATTTATTTATTTATTTATCTATTTTTATAAAGATATTTCTGAAGAAAAAAAATTATACGATTACTTTCAATGATGAGAACTCGTTCTCGTTCTTTTTGTTTCTTCTTCTTCTTCTTCTTCATCTTCTCCTTCTTCTTCTTCTTCTTTTTTTTTTGTTCTAGGTGCGCGTACGACATTCTCAAGAGACGCGACAAGAAAAAGAAACGTCTCTGTCCGGATTGTCATAAATCTGTCAGTTCACGACTGTACCTGCATTGCGAGGATCCGCACGGCATGAATACCTTAAATCATAGTTCCTTGAGTCTGGCATCATTGAGGGCCAGCAGCCTAGCGACATTGGAGGATTGTCACGCCACGAGTAGCGTTTAAACAAACAAAAATATTTGACGCATTATATTCGTTTCGATCATTCGATTCGCGCGCTAATACTCGTATATACGTGGGTGCCACAAGATCGTGCGCCAATTTATCGTAAACGAACTTAACAAACAAACAAACAAACAAACAAAAATAGGAAAAATGAAAAACAGCATAACAAAAAAAAAAATCCTCGAAAGTTCGAGAGAGGCTCATGATAACGAGAACGGCGTAGGGAAAGGAACAAAAAAAATAGTATTGATGAATTGGCAATAAAAATAACGGCTCGAATATCGATTGCTATTGTGAATATTGTTCTCTTCTTCTTCTTCTTCTTCTTCTTCTTCTTCTTCTACTTCTTTATCATCTTATTCTTCTTCTTCTTCCTTGATTATTATTACCGATAGCTGGGGTGTACAAAAAATAAAATTCAATCCGTGGTAAAGAATGTTGTTTCGTGTTTTAGTATTTCAATTTTCGTAATACAATCATCGACGGAGCGTTATCCTATGGGGACAAAAAGGAATACGATTGTCTCAAGACCCCTAAAGTTTCCGCATCAATCAATATTCTATAAAATCATTTGTCTAGTCAAGAAAAATATTAGGAAAATTAAATTACATTCCCATATCCGGGGACCATAGATTGCAAGCGTTTACGACAAAATTCTAAATTAACTTTATGCATGAATTGGTCGAGATTTACCAAAGGCGTCCGAAAAATTTTACCATGGATCATCGTGAAACTATTAACACCACCGTTGAATACAAAACTACAATTGATTTCGTAGCTGCGTGTTATTACGTATTATACTTACATATGTATGTATTCGTTATGTGTGTGTGTGTGTAACCCAATCTATATTTCTAACGCACCGTTCCCATTTTCCTCTTTTATTATTTTCTCCATAATATGGTGTTTCATTTGTAATTTAGAATTGTAAGAATTAATTCGTTCGTTAATGATAAATTCGGTAAAAAAAGAAATATTCACTCACGTGTAAATGTTATTGACGTTGATGATAAGATGTTGAGATAACGCCATACTCTCGTTGAGTCCTTCCAAAATCGAAAGACTATTATTTTTAACCCGTCCCTACATACATTCCGAAGAATGAAATTCTACGAGACTAGTTTTTAATAGAAATACCAAGCGGATCGCATACGCACTAACTTAATATACATATATTTATATTTATATATATATATATACAGAGTGTCTTGTAACTGGACACCCTGTATAAAAATAGAAATATATTATATATGTATATTACGTATGTTATATATATATGTATGCACATATTTCTATACGTATATATGTTACCGTCAAAGCGAGATATCAGTCATTGCTAGTAATTCCTCGGCATTACTATGAATGCAAGGAGCCTTCAGACAAAGTCGGAAATTGAAAAATTCTTTATGAACCTTTGCAGATTGATTTATAACTCAAATTTGTATTCTACGTGTAGATAAAAGAGTGCACTTTAATTTAATATAAAAATCATTAAGATCCGCTTGCTCTAAGTATAAAAAATATTTACCAAAACTTTTTAAAGAAATTGCGAAGATCCACAATTTACAGCATTGCATTCTCTGACATTTCCTGAACTTTACATGCTAAATTTATAACTCGATATGGTATTCTGCGCGTAGACAAAAGAGTGTACTTTAGTTTAATATAAGTTTCATTAAAATCTATTTACTTTTAGTATAAAAAATATTTACCAAAACTTTTCAAAGAAATTGCAAAGATGCATAATTTACAGCATTGCAATCTCTGATATTTCTTTGGAAAGTTTTTGGGGGAGAGGGGTTGCTTATGGCTGTGTGTGTCTGTGCCCGAGAATGTATTCTTTTCAACGTTGTTTAAATAGTTATTTGATATTCTCTATAGAATATCAAAGTATTCAGTTCGACGCCTAGAAAAAACTGGAAGAATTTTTCAATTTCCGACTTCGTCTGAAGGCTCCTTGCATTCACAGTAATGCCGAGGAATTACTAGCAATGACTGATTTCCGGCTTTGACGGTAACATATATATAATATTGATAAAGAAAAAATTGTTACATCTTATAAAGAATGCTATAAACTTAATTAACACAACTGTTGATTATAAATCTTCGATTAGTGACGTGGGCAAGATTAATAACATTTATGCGAATCTATCCGTATTGATCTTAATGAAAGAAAAAGAAAAGAAAAGAAAAAATTAAAAAAAAAAAAAAACGCAAAAAAAAAGAAGAAAAAATATGGTGATCGTTAGACCTCGACGAGTGAAGATTAATATTACGATTTATCGTTTGACAATCTTCGTGAATTAAAACAAAAATAAAAAAAGTTTAACGTAAAACTGTATGTGCACGTCGTATATATATAAAAAGAAAAAAAAAAGAAAAAAAAACATTGATTTTAAATAAAATTATCCAATTAATCGCAAAGTGTCATTTAACTTACACACAATTAAACATAATTATTATTTCATTTCCATCGAATTTATTTCATTTGGAAGTTATCGATCTTTAACTTTCGCTTAAGTTGCATAATTTTCCGAACGTAATCTTATTTGTTTGACTATACTTTTTGGATAAAACTTATGAATATATAAATTATCTTTTTTATATATGATATTATTTTTTATTTGTCTCTTATTTACACGTTTAACAGTCGTTGACAGATGACTGATGATCATACAATAATCGCAGACAAAAATTCTATGCGTTTATTCTGTACGACACGACATTGAATCGTTAGAATGAAGAAGACTTGGCCGCCAATCACATTTTGCTAAGAGGGTGGTGAGGAGGGGAAGGGAAAGGAGATGGGGAATGACAGAATGAATAGTTCTGCATTTGCCACTTTTATAGTGTCTAGAGTTTCACGATTCAACGATAAAGAGGAGACATGCAACTCATTTTATATATAGATATACATATGTATGTATGTACTATAATGATTGGATGGCATTGATAAAAAAGAAAAAGCAAACTAATAAAAAAATAAATTTCCAAAAATTTTTATAACAGTATATAGTAAAAATTATTTTTTCAAAGTACAAATTGCGCTTAAAATTTGTTACAATAATTTTATTCCGAATCGCACGTAATATCTCATTTTTATTAATACGATCATCCTAATAATAATACATTGGCAACAAAAAATTGCACGAAAATCAATGTAATTCTAATTAAAGTAATATTTAAAAAAAAAAGAAACTAATTATAAAAGAAAATAAAAATTACATCAAGTTAATTTTATCCTACAAATATTTACATATCGATGTACTTTTCTAGCGCATATTTTGTGCAGGTACTTTTTAACCCTTTCGTTACTAGGGACCCATATAGGAGTCGTATATACCATACTACGATTCGCATATACAAACGAATTTATATGGAACAATACTTGCCCTAAAGCGTGTCGTAAGAAAAGGGTTAAAGCGATAACTAACAAACAGTCTAATACAATCTTTTGAATTAGTCGAATTTGGCTAAATGTCAATGTGTGATAATATCAATATGAATGAATTTAAATGAAATTAATTTTAATTGATACTTAAGGTCGCATTAAATATATATATATATATAAAAAAAAAAATACAAAAAAATGGTAATAGTTAAATTTTTAGTACATACATACGTACATACTTTTGCGTATTATAATCCATAGTGAAATATATCGCACTATATTCGCACATAAGAGTTAGTATTAATTAATTAACTTATAGAATGACTGAATCTCATATTTACATATTCGATTAATATCATTGTGCATAAATGGACAAGATGTCATGTTCTAATTATATACTAATATCAAGCGGTTTCTTTTGTGCAATGTGCAAATACTTATTTTTTGCAATAGTTTAAACACATGACTCGTAAAGTATTATTCCGAATTGAATGAAAAATCCAATGACAATATATGGGTGTAATGTGAGTTACACCTTAGAGAAGTAATTATTTTCAGTTAACTTTCAGGCATAATATAATTGTTTTTTTTTCTTTTCATTTATAAAGCTCATGCTTATGATTCTTCTTCTTAATTACTATATCGAAGCTTAATAATTTTCTCTTTCTCTCTCTCTCTCTCTCTCTCTCTCTCTNTCTCTCTCTCTCTCTCTCTCTCTCTCTCTCTCTCTCTCTCTCTCCCTATCACACTCTCTTACTGTTACGCGTTCGTATGTTTGTTTCTTTTTTTTTATAAGTTAAATGTATAAAAAAAAACGAGTAAAAGACGAATACACGTAAAATCACATCAATCGTGTTAGCTTGCATTGATTGTCCATGTATATAAATATTATACACATTCACGTTTTTTTTTTTTAAAAAGAATGATTGACCGATTGATCAATTCTATTCAAACGATAGAACAAATTTATGTGATAATTTAAACACGAAATTGTTTTTCTATCTATTCATAGAACATTGAAAATATTTCCCTATTTACTTTAATTATAATAAATACGCATTGCACTGTATCTTAGATGCGCTAAATCTTCTTACTTTCGAGACATAATTATGTATTAAATATCAATGAAGAAATAAGAGGAAAAGCCCATCTATCTGATGCGACAAACCACCACGTGTATTTAAGTAATTGTTAGATTATTATGCGATTAAAATTTTTCTGATATTTGTCTTTTGTTTTTTTTTTTTTAAGTATATTCATTTTTTATCTGATTTCCTGATGTCTAATTCTATTGTATACAATATATGTATCTGTATTTTGTTATTTTTTTTCTTTTTTAATAACATATCAGTATTAAGTATAAAATCTTATTTAAATTTTAAAAACAAAATTTCTCTGTACATATATCATTTGTATCAGGCTAAATTGTATTTCAACCTTTTTCTTTTTTCTAGTTTCACTTACTTTTTCCTCTCTTATTTTCTTTTCTATTCTTTTTTCTTCGTACATATTATATCGAGACTTTACATACACATCGGATATATATCATGTTTCTCAATTAAAAGCAAGTTACATTTTTGGTACTATGTTTAATAGGTGAACTCGTTCCATCTGTTTCACTAAGATCCATACCAAATGGCACCGAATTCCAAATTGCTATGTCGCTACGATCATCTTCCTCGCTAAGAATAGTACACATCATTCTATCGTCGTAAAGGGAAAATCTAGCTGAAGATTGTGCACGACCACGAATCTTTCTCACGGATGGTGGTAAATCACCCGGAGTTTTAATTCTCATGTTGGGATCTTTCAACACGTTGACGTTAGATCTAACATTAAAGACCTCGTTGAATTTATCGATACTCTCCTGCCTGCTAAGATTGTTTTCCCCTTTTTTATTTTTCAAATTAACTAACGGCAATGTCGAGGGTCGAGCATTACTCGTTCCGTCATTGTCGTACGCGTTATTTCCAGTTTGTACTACGTTCTTATCATTTTTTACTATCGGCGCGGTAGAAGTTGAAGTTTTACCAATAATACCGTTAACGTATTTACCACCAGGTGAGATGGTCACGTTAGTGTCCACAGTCTTAATTTGTACATTTTGCTTTGACAATAAATTGGATTTGGAATCCTCCCTGTCTATCGGATATTTGTTATATGGGTGCATCTTCTTGTTGACGAGTAATTTCTTTAAATTCGGCCAACCACCGAATATCTTTTTACGTGGACTTTCTTGAAGATAATTGTCATGCATATTCGTTTGCTTGCGTTTATTATAAGACGTAGCACCGTCATCTGATATGACATTTTGTACGTACGGTATCGGTGTGGCTGGTCTAAGTTGTGCCAACTGTGTCGTATGTTGACCTAAGTAATCGTGCGAAACGAGACCTTGCGCTTCCGTTACTACTTTGTATTGATCATTGCACGCGTGTTTCAACGATTTGTCAACTAAAACATTACCGTTACATCCTAGATCCTCTAACGAATCAGACTGTAACATCAAATTCCTCTCCATGCAAGGATTTCTTCCTTGATAAGGTTGAAGAGTTTGAGTGTGGTTATACACCGCTACCTCGTTCGAATTTTTAACTAAAATTATCAAATGTAATAACATTATTATATTACATTTGATTAAAAAATAATTATAAGAGAAGATTTATAATTTACTTACAACTATGTTCGTGAGCGACACTATCCGATGGGGAAAGTGTAACCAAATTATCGACCATATTGCTCTCGTTCGTAGATCCATCTTGACTCATGTGCATTGCTAGTTGAACAACATGGATATTATCGTGATGTGAAGTTTCGCTATAAAGGCTATTCGTGGTTGAAGGCACTAAGGCACAGTGAGAGTTCACCATGGGACTCCCATCGGTAAAGTATGAAGTAACTGTACAAAATTGTTCGATATATTTTAATATTTCGTAATAACGTAAATGTAAAAAAAAAATGACTATGAATAAAGAACCCTTTCCTACTTACTACGATGAGATTGTAGTTCCGAAAGACGTTCTTCTATACATAAAGCTGTCAAACGTGCTTCAGCATCTGCATCCCAACAATCTTCCATAGTTTCCTTTATAAGACGTACTCCTGGTCTATCGATTATATTTCCTTCTAAAAGAGGTCTTGCTTTTTTACGCGATACCAAAATTTGCATCTGTTCGAATGTAGGATGCAATCCTAAACAAAAAAAAAAAACAAAAAAAGAACAGATATAAATAAAACAGTGAATAATCTAAAAATATAAAATGTTTAATTCATGTTCGATCCATACAAACCAATTTCATTTTCATATGGTTGCTTATATTGAGGCACCTCTGATCCAGGAATGTAAATGTCGGAACACCTTGAAACTAATTCCCACAAAACTAGGCCCATTGCATAAACGTCTATTTGTTTGAGAGAACTTTCACAATCGCGTAGATTAACAGCACCCTCTAATACTTCCGGTGCCATGTATCTCAAAGTACCAACCTGTTAAAAAATTAAAATCAGTATCTAGTAGATCTAATAAAACTTCGATTAATATATTAAACTTATTCATTTTCTTACATCATTAATTGATTTTATTTCAGCATGTTGTTCTTCTCCGTTAGAGTAATATTTGGATCCAGATATTTGCACTGCTAATCCTAAATCACATATGCAACAGCTACCGTCGGCTTTAATCAGTATGTTTCTAGAATTTATATCTCTGTGAGCGATACAGGGCTTGAATTTATCTGTAATTTATTATTTTTATTTAAATAATTATATATACAACATACAAAATGATGTTACAAACAATGTAGACTTAAAAATATTTGCTTACCTCCTTTACGAATATCAGTATGCAAATATGCAAGTCCTTTGACTACAGAAAGGCCCATTTTACAGAATGTCAGCCAGTCAACTGTATGCGTTAGTAAGAAATCTGTTAAAGTACCACTTGGAGCAAAGCTTAGTACCAAAAGATATTCCGTGCTACCTTCCATGCTTATTCTTTCATCTACACCTGTATCCATAAATGTTCAGCATTAAGAAATAAAAAAAATTGTATCTTGTATTAATCCTTTGACTGCAAATAGTGTCTGTATGAAGAATTATTGTCACCTTAATAAATAAATAAAAATACTAACCATAGTAGCTTAATAGAGATGGATGTTCCATGAACGGTAAACAGTAAGTATCTCTTTCATTTTGAAAATAATTACGATAATGAGAGGGAAAGATTTTCACAGCAACATCTTGATCTCCCATACTACCTTGCCAAACGGAACCATATCGTCCTTGTCCTAAAAATTATTAAAAATGTATTATATACGGACGATTATAATTATACGAATCAATGATATAATATTTAAAAAACATACCGACAATTGTAGTCAGTTTTAAATGATCAACAGTATAAGTACCAGTCCTTAATGCTGTACTATCCATAAATTGGTCATTGTAAGACATTGGTTTTCCTAATCTTGTTAAAATATTGTTACGGTACGTTCGATATATCATCATAGCTATTGTACATATCACCAATGAAGTGCAAACTAATGTGCTCACTACGATGAGCAACCATCTTTCTGAATCTGACTGTTCTAAATATTCGGTTGCTATAAAAATAATGATATCACATAAATCATTAATAATTTTCAATATAATTTTTATCCTAGGAATCATAAATCCATAAAAAAATAATGTAGGAAGCTCACTTGCAAGATTTTTCTGCACTGGCGCAGAATTGAAAATCTTATTATCGGAATACAAAAGATTATTATTAGTAATATTTAAATTACAATAATCTCCATGACAGCAGCAAAACTTAGTATTATTTAAAGCCTTGGTAGAACGTTGTAATGCCACACATTCGGTATTTTCACATTTCTGTTCACCAGATTGTTTCCAGCAGCCTTTCATTAAAAAACAATTAAAAAATGAAAATAATATAACATAAACGATTAACGACAGAGATAGAATATAAATCAAATAAATACCTTGTGATAAAATAATGATCTCTGTACCATTAGCAGTCTTATTTTCTTGCCAGAGTGCATGACAAAAATTGATGCATTTATCAAATTTAATGTCATCGTCTGCCTGTAAAATGTAATTCCATGTAAAAAAAAAATATAATTTTACTAAAGAATCCTTAAATTCTTTTGTTTAGATCTTTAATATCTTGTTTACTGTTACGTGCTTATAACGCAATGTTTATTAATTAAAATTAACTAAAAAAATCTTTTGTAATTTTAATTAAATTGAATAATGTGTGTATTGGATTCACTTACTGAGATACGAATTACATTATTATTATCGGATAAATCTTCAACAGGCAATCCTGCTGAATTTATTTTCAAGGAAATATGTTCATTTGTTTTTTTTCTACTTGCACATATTCTACTGGCATGAATGGGGGCTGAACTTATCCCATACAGTAGTGTGACCAATACGACTGATACAATGGCTCTCATTGTGCTTTAGCAAGCCAGTTCAAGTTGGCCACTTCAGCAGAAGCAATGCTTCTTAAGAATTGCCATCTTTCACCATAGCGATATATTGCACTAACCATAGGCTCTCTTTGTTCATCTGTTTATCAGACATTTTTTTTTCTTAGTCCATATTAATATAATTATTAGCTTAACATTATTACACGTAATTAAAGTAAACATTGTAGATCATAATTGTAATAAAATATATTCCCATGAATATTATAAAAATATATATAAATATTTTTTATAGATATATATTTTATTAAATATTATGTATTTTTAAGAAAGATAAATCATCATATTTCAATCATGCATATTCAAAATTATTTTTTTTTTCTTTTTTCTTTTGGATTAGAAGAATGTAAGAAATAAACATAAATTCTATAATTATATGACAATAATTTAATTCTTTATTAAAATCAACACACACACACACACAATGCATAACAGTTTCGTATGATAAATGAATTTTGTTAATATTATTATAAAAAAAAAAACATGCATAAACAAAATTCCTTTATAAATATTACAAGTTAGTTGAATACGAAAAGAATTAACGTCTACTGCGCGTGTGATGTGCGTGAAATGAAAATTTGTAAATAAAATATGACAGAGAGAGAGAGAGAGAAAGAAAAAAAAGAGAAAGAGAGAGAGAAAGAAAGAGAGATAGAGATAGATAGAGAGAGAGAAAGAGAGAGAGAGAGAAAGAGAGAGAGAGAGAGAGAGGGAGAAAGGGAGAGAGGGAGAGAGAGAGAGAGAGAGGGAGAAAGGGAGAGAGGGAGAGAGAGAGAGAGAGAGAGAGAGAGAGAGAGAGAGAAGTACAAATGTCATGTTATTCAAATGACGCGACGTGTATTAAAAATGATAATGCTTACATTTTGACCGATAATCTTTGAAAAATTTTCATGTGTTCTCTGTAAGTTCCTGACGCCGTGATTAAAAGTAACATTGCACGATTTAATAAAACCGAAAAAAAAATCTGATTATTATAAATCTATTATTGACGGGGTTGAAGTTATACTCAATGAAACGCGATTAAATCACGCATTAATAAATGCGTCGAAATAATACTAACAAGCGAAACTCATAGATAAGCAATGAGATACGCGTTAAACGTTCCCCGTTGTGTGTTTGTAAGAGTGCTAAGCCATACGACACATAGTGAATACATAAAGAATGTCACGATATAATATTGGCAGCACCCTCGCACCCAACCTCTGCACTCTGATGTCTAAACTTGATACTAACCGAGGCACGAACGCACCTACTGAAGACGATAAAATTCACTTTGATTTTTGGATACTACTTTTATCTTTATATAAATATTATAATTAATTAGATTTAATTTATATAGTCAAGGATTATTTGTTTTATATTATTTTAATAATAGACCGAAACTTTTGGATTATGATCTTGAATGTATTTAATTAAAATTATTTGTAATCAACGTGTAAAAATAATTGAAAAAAAAAAATATGATGGCGTTGTTGTTGATTAACGACTGACGTCATCTACGTTCGAATACGGAAACCATTTTGATAAAGATCAACGTATATGTACTATATATGTATATGTATAAATGCATAAATCATAAACATGGGTCACATTTTTTAAATTCAATCATTGAATATTCAGTATGATTATAAATATAATAATTTATAGTCAGTTCGAGACTTTTTATTTTAGGCGGTTTAATATGTAGTAATAGAGGAACGGACGAATTGGAACGCAGCGTTGCATCGTGTGTGTGTGTTTTCGATCTATCGTGCAAATGGCGGCTCTCGCGATGTTTTCTCAACGATTACTCAAATATTAGATATAATTATTCGAGATTATCGATAAACAGTGTAATAGATACGTACTACTGACATTTCATATTCGAGAAGATTTATTCTAAACATGGTGAAGTTACTTAAAAAGTTCTTTGCCGGTGATAAAGTTTTTGCAAAAGTTCGAGGTTACCCGCCATGGCCAGCTAAAGTGAGTATCATCTAATTTATCTAAAGGAATTTTTACGAACGCATGTTATATTTATCAGATAGCGTAATAAATATCATTGTTTAATCGATTACATTTTTCTATTCTAATCTTTTCAATAAGGTTATTCATAATTAAACTGTTTAATTTATTATAGTCCATATAAAAATCATGTTTACATAAATTCGTTTATGCGTATAACCACAATAAAATGTTTTTCTTTTATCAATACTCTTAAAGCAATTTATTTCGATCATTATCACGTTTCGTTTACGATACGTACCATTTTAACAAAGATGAATAATTCAATTGCATATGTCTTACCATATAGATTATTTTTGTACCATGTATTTTATTGATTCTACTTACAGGTTGAAAAGGTTTCAGACCCAAATTCTAAAAATGCCAAGTATAGCGTTTATTTTTATGGTACGGGTGAAACGTAAGTAATGATAAAACATTTTTTTGAATAATCTATATAGATTAAAATAGATAAAATACTTGTTGCATAAGTTTATAAAAAATATATAACAAACAATTACTTAAAATTTTACCTCAGCGCTGTATGTAAAGTTGAAGAGCTTTTTACTTACACGGAAAACAAAGCAAAGTTTGGTAACAAAGCATTACGAAGGAAATTTTTCCATGAGGGATTACAGCAACTTGAACAAGAACTTAAAAATGAAAAAAGTAGAGATGCAGATGCAGATGATTTACAAGGTAGTTTGTAAAGTTATTAGATGAATTTTGACTCAACGCTTCAAATATTTTATCAAAAATAATTCTATTATTATAGAATCGGATATGGTGGAAGCAGCAAGCACCAAAAGAGCTGATGTTGCTTCGGAATTACCAGCAGCTAGCGCAGCGGATAGTGACTTAGAAGCAGGATCATTAATTATTGATGAAGGAGATAAAAAAAAGTCATTTAAAAAAAAACCATTATCTACATCTAATAATCCTGTAAGCTATTTGTTATTTTATTTCATTCTAATATTATTTCAATTATACGGAGACTTGAACTCTTATATTTTAATTTAGCAATATTGTTTAAGAGAAGCAATTATTGCCATTCTGTCTCCGATAGAAAATCAGGATCTGCCGACAAACATTTGTAAAACTTAAAATGTTGGTGCGATTGCTCCTAACATTGTATAAATTTTTTTAGTAGATGTTCTTTTAAAAAAAATATAATATTATGAAAAAATGTTATAACTTATTCTTCAAATGAATTAGGATACACCAGAATTAAAAAGGAAGCGTGGGAAGACAAAGGCGGTACCCACATCGACAAGTGACACATCAAAACACGAGGCAATTCTTGATTCGCAGGGAGAGGAGTCGCCTAAAGAAATTGTAAGCCGCAGTGGACGTAAAATAAAACCAAAGCGTTTTGCAGATTTTTCCAGTTCCGAAGAAACAGAAGGTACTCATATAAAATAAATGAATATATATATATATATATATATATACATAATAATATATTACTTATATAATATATGTAAAATATTTGTATTATAGAACATTCTTCAAGAGGACGCAGCAAAATTAAAAGCGATGAGCCTAATGAGCACCTATCATCTGCTGGATCATACAAGAAGAGAAATATTAGTTCAGAAAGTAAGTATTATAAAAAAAACATTTAATTAGAATATTTATTTACATGTTTTTTTATGTTAAAGAGAAGAACAGTATCGGTGAATCATCATTGATGGAAGATACCGTCATCTCTAATCCATCTTCTTCTGAAACAGCAGGACGATTTCTTCTTGCACGAACATTTGCTGGTGAATTTGTGGGCATTAAATTAAATGTAGACAGACCAAAATCATTTGACAGTGAAAAAGCTAGAACACAATGGGATTGGACTACAGCCCGCAATGCTATGAAACTTAAGGCTCAATTAGAGAGCGGTGAAATTTTACCAGAACAAGTAAAAGAATCATTAGATTTTAATGTACATGTGCCAGAGGATGAGAAACGCATTTTGGCGAAAGACGGTGCAGTTCATAGAAAAACTTACAAACTAAGGTATCTTAAAGATTTGGTTAATTGCAACACATTGATTTATTATACAAGATTATGATTTATTTTTATTCCTTTTTTTTTGTAGATGGCTTCGTATAGAAGCTCAGCTGTTACAATTGGATGCTCAAATAAAATCTAATCTTGGGTTGGATCGTGCTAATACAGATAAATGTTTAGAAGCGATGGATGATATATTGGCACTATCCATTGGTCCATTAATGCTAAAGAAGCATCCACATATTGTCGAAACTGTGAAAAGGGTAAATATTTGCAAGTTTTACTAGTTATAGTTTTTTTCACTGTTTCAATATTTTATGGATTATTCTTTTTACAGTTAAGGCGATATATTGGTAATTTAAGTGATTGGAAGTTGAGTAAAGAAGAAGAGGTAAATGTCGTTAATATTACATATCATCAAACAAATGAATAATTAATTTCAATCAAATAACTTTGAACAATTTATTTTATAGTCTATTTTCAAACAAAAAGCGGAACAAATAAGGCAAAAAGCAGAGCACATATACAACAAATTTAAGGTCATTAATTTGATTAATTAAATAAATTTAAATTTTACTTATATGTATACACACACAAAATAACAAGTATTAGAAAGAAAAATAATATAAAATTATTCTGTAGGCTATGTTCACAATACCAGAAGGACAGTCTTTTTGGCAATCATTTTCTGTTGAAGTGGACCATTTCAAGGAATTAACGAAAAATATGTCGGAAGAAAAAGTTTTCTCTTTAATGTCTGATCCGACCTGTCCAGGTATTATAATATTTGTAATATCTTATAGTAATTAAGATAATTCTAAAATGAATACATAATTTATGAAATAAACGTAATAATCAACTTCAGATGCTGGTATGTCAGAAGATGTATCTATCGGAGACGATAGTGGCAGTCAAGAAGATACAGACATTCAATTGAAATTAGATCCGGACCAAGTGCCTATCAAATTGGAAAATCCTAAAGATTCAGAAAGCAAGTAACATACGTATATCTCGTATGTAATTAAGGTGAACATGAGTACGTTTTGTTTTGTGCAGTATACTATGATATACAAGACAGCAGAGTGTTTTGCAACTGATTTAAGGGAGTGGCCTTTGCACGTTTGAAAATAATCTATAATGTGGATAAATTTTCCTACCGCAAATTATTCTATGAGTTTCTATGACATTTCTAGTGAATTCCCTTTTCGGCGTTACTAAAAAAAAGAAAAAAAAAAGATAAGAAAATGAGAGAAAAAAGAACAAAATTACGTGCACGTGTCAGAATATTTACAATTGCAAGTCGGTGATGTAAATTACACTCATGCTGCCAACGACAAAAGTTTCATTGACACAAATTATATGACCTAGAAAAATGAAAAGAAAAAAAAGATATCATCTTTCTATAATAATATGTCATTGTTTTTCTGCCTTTGCGTAAAATTGTAATTTATTTTGACACATTTTTTGACCGTACCAAAGGAAAATTTTCACGTTAATCGTTCGTATTAAAGAAAGACCACGATCATCATCTTCTTGACTTCGTAAATAGTGTTTTTTTTTTTTTTTTTTAACTATCGATGTAAATACAGGAATACTTATTTCATGTTACACATTTACATACTAAACTGATGAATGGCAATGAATAATTCAAAAATATAAAAAAAAATCTTGTACTATGATGCATGGCAGTTAAATAAAATCGATAAACATCGATTTTATTGCGAGATACGACGATTTTAAATATTTTTGAAATTAATGTTTCTATTGCACTTTAAAGGCAAATTTACGTCTCGTCCGAGCAATAAGAAAAATTTGTATGGTTTTTTTAACGTAATGCCAATCAATCATGTTTCTTGGTATATACACGTATATCTTACAATATGTTACAAAAATATTCTTGCAAATAGTTCTTAGATAAATGCTCAATTATTATTTAGTTGTAGAGACAAATTAGGAATCGTAGCAATAAATTAGTGATTTGTATGATGAAAGCAACGTGAAATATTACAGCGAAGTGTAAGTTTTGAATGGGTAAGTATTTTAAGTTTACTATATTGCTCTCATAAACAAGAAAATTATTTACTTTCAAGTTAAATGAAATCGTTCGTCGATTATAGAATATTGATTAATTAAGATAAGGAACTGTGAAGATAAAAAAAATTAATTGACCCACGTAAACACGTAAATTCGTGCGTCGATTGGAACATGTCTATAGAATTTCAAACTTTATCTTGTTAAAACCTCACAAATTTGTTTATCACAAAACGAAATTAGTTTCAAGAACGTAAAAAGTCAAAAGTTACTTCGTAATTTGCTTAGTTTAGTTGATCGTTCGAAAGAAAAGCTCATTAAACAAAAGTTTGTAAAATTTGATTATTTTATAATTATATATTTTTATTCGCGTAAAAATAATAATAATAATAATAATAATAAATATTATGAAAATATAAAATTGAATTTAGTTTGAAATAAGAGTTGCAAAGATATTGGTAAAATTAATTAAAGATAATAAAAGAAAACAAAAGGAGTAGAATTTTTATCAAAGGCTATAAGTTACCGACATCAACTTTGTCCACGCTTCAAATTTTTGTACAAAATAGAAATTATTCAAATATAACATATCACAAAAAGTATGATTTGAAATAATGTTTATTTTAACGAAAATTAATTTAGCGCTTTTTTTCTCTCTCTCTATATATATTTTCTAATTTTTATTTTAAACAAATAAAAAAGTATTAATTTTATTTTGTTTCTAAAAAAAAAGAGAAAAAGACAAAGGATTTTTTCTTATATGTCTGGAAACACGAGAGTATTAAATTGTTAGGATCGACACGAGAATGCAAAAAAATAAGAATATAAATAAAAATAAAAATTCTTGTTTCTCGAGTAAAAATATATATATTTTTTATAAACTACTTTTAAATAAAGGTTTAGTCGTCGAACGTTCGAGAAATGTTCTTTAACGATCAGACCAAGTATTTTAAGATCACAAATATAAATACACAGTTTTAAAAAAATAATTAATATTACGAATAATTTAGTCTAACGTGTTGTTGCAAGGAACAAGTTGAAATGAAAGAAAATAAAATTGCCGGGCTGTAATTGGTGGCCTTTGAAGTGCACTGAAAACATCTATAAATAATTTGTACCATACTTGCACTCTAATTTTAAAATGATTTATGTTATAGTTATACGTATATATATATATATCGATTAGTTTATTAAAATAGAAAAAAAATATGATCGATCTTTCAGTTAGAATTACGCATACACACAGATATTAAATTTGTTTTCAAACGTCAAAGATCGAAAGTTCGTGCGTTTATTAATTCAAAATAATCTCGTTATCGATATATATATAATAAATAAAAGAAAATGTTTATTTCAAATGTATTTCAAATATTTTGAATAAAAAATGTTACAAGAGGAGGCATTTTATCCTACGAAGATTCTAATCCTTCTTCGTCAATTGCCATAAAAATATCTTTCGAAAGGAAAGAAACGAAGGATTACATCGTCCTGTCGCGTTTAAAATTAAAGATCGAAAAGAAAATTTATTATAGAGTATCGATCATTAAATCACAAATACTATTTAGACAATTTATTTTTTAAGATGAGAACCGAATAATTTTGAAAAAAATAAAATAAAATAAAAATTGTCACACTCATTAATAGGGGGCCTGCCTTCTAATTAAATATAATGGATAAACAATTAGGAAGGAACGAATCAGAATTCTTGTCTTTCGTTATTCAGAACAGAATTTATAAATAACTAGGACAAATATGAATACATCGATTGTATGGAATTGCGTTTCTTTGAACGCTGCATTTTTACATTCTCTCAACATTTTTTTTTTTTCTTTTGTTTTATTATTCATACATATATACTATATACATTCAGCCTCTTAAATCGTAAAATTGTTCTAAGTATGTTTCTAAAATGTGAATAACTCTAAACGTTAATCATCGGTATTTTGGGATCATGAATCAATCGATTTATCAAATAGAAGATTATTCTTATTCGCACTAACTAACAATCAAAACAAAACTGTCCATGTTCCATTTTCTTTCTTTTTCTCTCATTAATTGCACACAGTTTTAAAAAACAGACTGTTGTCTAACAATAACATCACATTTTTCTTCTATCAACCTAATCTCTTGATCAACTTCGATAAAATCTTATCGTGGTGTATAACACGAAAAGAAGCATAAGTATTGTCGGTTTATCAACGAATTATATATGGATTTATTTTTGCGTATTCTCATGTATGTATGTATGTACTATAGTACTTACCGGTAATTATGTACTTATAATTATGACTGTGGACTAACGGTAATGTTAACAATTTGAAAAAATACATTCTACGATTTATTTCATATATTGAAAATTACTTATATATTATAAAATAAATCATAAAATATATTTTTAAACAATTTTCCATTAATTCAGTCCCACTGTCATAATTAATCGGCACATATGTATATATATATTCTATGCTTGTAATTTGTATACAATGAATAATGCAATCATACGCGTATGTAATATGTAAATACTATTGCAAAAATGTTTCATTTTAGTTTCTCTTTCTTTTATTATTTTTTGTTTATAGAAATGAGATTCTAAATTTCTTGAATTATTTCATTCAAAAACACGAGAAACGACATTTTTACGATAAGAAAAAATTCTTCTTGAATTAATATCTCGTATAAAATAAACGATAGATTTTCTATGTAATAACGTACGATTGTATGTTGATCGACGTTCTCTCTTATAAAATGAATTTTTTTGATTAACTTTGAATTATAAACTAAGGCAATATATTTCAGTTATACAATTCGCGAGGTTCGTCGTACCGTTTATATGCGTATTATACTTGCGTGTGAAAATTTGTTATATTCAAAATGCAAACTGATAGTACAATTTTTGATCTTATCTATTCGTATCATATAAAAAATCATTTTCACCTGAAAAATAATTACACTTTTTTTTTTTTTCTTTTTTTTTTCCCCCCTCCCCTCCCCCTCCCCCTTCTTTTCTCTCTTATACTTTGTTTTTAAATTTTACCAAATTTTACGAAATTACGCAAATATTATGTATGTGGTATATATAATAATATACTTTTTGATTATGCGAATTTAAAACAAAAACATAATTGATTTATATCGTAATCGTTAAACAGATGTTTCTGCCGATGTAGTGCCATTTACTTTCACTGGGCCGATACTCTCCTTCGATCTTATCAGATCTACCTAAAATGATAGGAACTTGTATATATATACTGAAATTGTTTTATTTTATTATAGTTATCGATACTCGTCGATGAATTTTTTGTTTGTTCTCTCTCTCTCTCTCTATATATATATCAGAAAAAAGAAATTAAACATCGGTAGAAGAATTCAACTTTTAGAAGAAAAAGAAGATGAAGAAGAAAAAAAAAAAAGAAAAAATGTTATAGTTTTTTTACTTTTTTAAAATAATTTCGACGAATTAAATGTTACATTGTGTTAATAGTAAGGACAAAATGTAATAATTAATTATTTATATGAACAAATTATTGGGATAATTTAGATTATCGAAGCCATGCTAATATTCAAAAATTAGTATTTAAAAAAAAGAAATATTGAAAAATGTACAGGCATGCCAAAGTTTGAAAGTGCAAAGAGTGATACAAATATTACATTTAAAGAATAACAATCGATTAGATCATTGTGAATATTGTAACTAGAATGATTTGAACAAAAAATGATGACAGATATACTAACTACGATGATAAAGAAGAAAAAAAATATTCGATATAAATAACTATATACATTATAATATTATAACATAAGGATAACTGTAAAGACTAGTGTAAAGTTTAATCGAAACTATAGTAACTATTTCGTATTATGCTCGAAGGTTTACTGCTGGAAATTTCAAGGAACTGTTACTATCAAATATGTAAAATATAGTAACGAATGGGAAAGGTGTAGGAAAGTATGAAAGGTCATGATTCAAAAATGTAAAGATATCGATTCCAGCAGGTAACGTTCTGAAATAGTAGAAGGGATAGATAAGTATAGTTCGCGAAGAGTAATCTAAAGTATTCCTAATCCGTCATTGAGGAGAAGAAGAAGAAGAAGAAGAAGAAGAAGAAGAAGAAATAATAAAAGAAAAAAAAAAAAAGAAAAAGAAACAGAAGAAAATAAGACTCCTCAATGAATCGACTCGCGGGAGGGTAAGAAAAAATCATGCTACCCTCTTTTTCGTAAATTTACTCACAGCTGTGGTACATGGGTACATGTCGCATGCCGGTGTATTGGTGCTCTTGCTGTGTGTCTTGCTGTGATGATGCTTGTTAGAATTTAGAGTCATTTACGCTCGTCACCTTGATCGATATGCCAGTGTCATCCTCCTCCTCCTCGGTCATAGTTGTCAGCCTTGTTGTCTCATCGACCAGCAACGAGCCCTCCTTCTTTGAGTGTTTCTTCGATTTGCTTACGCTAAGCAAAATTATAATCAAACGGGAGAAATAGGAAAAAAAAACAAAAAAAAATAGCTAACAATGTGTATCTATATATCTATTTGATATTATTATTATTATTATAATATATATTTAAAAAGAAAATATTATTAATTTATAAATAATAATAATAATAATAATTAAATTATTATTATTATTATAATTATACGTACTTCATTAATTTAGATTGTTTAGGTTTTTTTTTCTCGTTACTTTCATTAACTTGTTGCCAAATTCCAGTTTTATTAACTTCCTCGCTGATATTGATGCTAGCCAGTGGAATCTTCATAATATTTCCATTCGCCAAAGATATTTGAATATTTTCCGGTGGTCCATAACCGATTGGATAATTTGGATGTTCCTGTATCAATAAAACAAAAGACAAATATAAATCACGATGGTTCTATACGTCACAATCAATAGTTCGATTTTTATCTCGTCGATGGTTTTAAATACAGGCCATGCTCTAAAAAGGAGCCAATTTTATTTATTTTTTTTCTTTTGTTTTTTTTTTTTTTATTTCTATATGACTATGCTAAAAGAAAGCGACGACTAATTATTAAATCTAAATAATCGATAAAATATCGATATTTACGCGGTACGCTATCTCATCGTGAAAATATTTCTTCTTCTATTTGCCGATCTGATAATGATAAGATGACGATGACGTAATTATAATAACTATAATATTTATCGGAATTACGTGCACTTAGGGTGACGTACCAATGACAGGTCGGAGTATTCAACGACGAACGACTTTAACGAGTTTCGTATTCTCTCTTTCTCTCTTTCTTTCTTTCTTTCTCTTTCATTGAGATGCTTGATAATCCAATTTTTCTGTAGTTTTTCTCAAATACGAATCGTCTCCATCCTCCCTTGTGAGTCATGGTGGTGTTATGGCTAGATTATTAATTTTTTCTTTTTTTTTTTTTTTTTTTTTTTAAACTTTTTGTTTAGATCGTTTGCTTCGTTTGCACTGTGACAAAGATATACGTTTGTAGATCGTACGATGAAAATGTATATTTTTCCAAGAAAAAAAAAGATAACAAAAGAAAAATATTTGATTTTATTTTTTTGACGGATGACAAAAAATATATATACATATATATATATATAAAAGTGGAATATAAATTGGATTTACTGTCTGTGTGATAGAAGCCAAGGGTTATCCTCATCTCTTAATTAAGGGGGGTTGGGGGAGGAGGAAGTTACCATAACGTTACAAGAACATGTAAATTTCGTGTTAAATGTGTTAACGACGAATATATGTATGCGTACGTTAATTTAAATTTAATCTTACATTAAAATGATTAGAGATCAATTTTTGTTGTTGTTTAAAGTTACTTTTTCTTTTTTAAGGAACTCGTTAAGTTAAATGTTAAAGAAAATTTGGAAGATACATAGACGGAAAGAAAGAGAGAGAGAGATAGATAAAGATAGAGAGAGAGAGAGAGAGAGATAGAGAGAAAGAGAGAGAGAGAGACAGAGAGAGATATATATATATATATATATATAGAGAGAGGTGTTTGTATTTGTGTAATTTAAAGAACAATGTATTTGGACACTTGAATTTAGGCGATTATTAGTGTAATACAGTCTTTATCACTGTTTTAAAATTTAGAACAACGTACGAGAGGACACATCGATAGCAAATTTTAGGACGGCGAATAGAAAATGATATTAGACCTGTCAACTTATTAATAATATAGTTGTTTCCATGTATACGCATAGTTAACTATACATATATATATATATATATGTTAAGATTTATTTTTAGTCGAATAATAGTCAATGAGAGAAAAAAATTGGTCATAGTTTTGCATGTAAGATCGATTGCCCTACAAGGAACTCATCGATTGTTCCGGATTTTTTTATACTGTCGTTTATTGTCTAACGATTACTTAATATGCTATTATTATTATTATTATTATTATCATTATTATTATTATTAATGTATAATTATTACAACGTGTTAAGTAAAGCGAAAAATTAACACTAATTAAATATCCACGATGATTAAACGCAATTCTTTGTGTGTGTGTGTGTGTGTGTTAATATCGAGGATTTTAAAACGCGTTGGACACTTTTTGGTTTGTTTGTTTTCTTTTTTTTTTTTTCAAATTAAAATCGATCATTTAAATATTCGTCTCAAATAAACGAGATTCTTTTTATCAAAGCGTTCAACATTAAATATATATGTATATTATTGGCCTAATTAATTTCTAATACAACAATAACACAGCAATAACATATCGTTGTTGGCCCTCGTATGAACACCTAATACGAAGCTGATCAAACGCTATACCTAGTACGCATTTATGCATGTTATAATTACATATATTATATATATATATATATATATATTTTTTTTTTTTAGAAATTATTTACGACCACGATCATTGTGCATTTCTCGCTATTTTTTTGTATTATTAATATTGGTCTGTTGGTCAAATGGAAGAAATGAAAAAAAAATATATATCTATATATATATATATATATATACATGTATATATAAAGGATTAAGGAATACAAGCGGTAGGTCCTTTAATTTAGTTTTAGTTCGATCGTTGAAACATGTAAATCTTTCGTATAAAATTTGGCAAACGTTTAATCCTTTCGTTAACAGGATCGTAGGAAATTTCTATGTTAACGATACTCGCATTAAAGTATGCCGTAACGAAAGGGTTAACTATTATTAATTTTCGAGGTATTGGTGTTAAAATAATTAAAAAATACGTTTTTTTTTTTTTCTTTGAAATTTTCTTACCGTCCTAATGAATAATTTTCCTTCTATGCGCTCTCAAAGAAAGATTTAATAATATTTTACGAGCACCGTATATTCCTAACTAATGTTGTCTTACCTACAAATTTATCTAAATATTATACTTTTTTTTTCTTCTTTCTTTTTTCCAAGGCCTTGTTTCTCTTTCTTTTTCATTTTCCTTTTTTTTTTTTTTTTTCTTTTTCGTTTGAAGACCATTAAGAAGATCATTTCGATCATCAATCTTTTCGTCGACATAAATTGGATCTATCGTATTCGCACATAGTTATAGTGACCACGGGATAATTGTCAATCTGATGGTCACTCCTCGTTCGCTATTTACGACATAATAAATTTCTGAATATTCGTCTGACGATGCTAACCTCGCCGCTTTCCAATTGGCGAAGATCGTCGGCATGTTTCTTGCTTGGTTCCGGCATCACGTCGTCGAGTATCTTCAATTCGCGTTGAGTAAAAACGAAATCCAAAGATTTTCGAATTCCGATCATCACCACGAGCTAAGCAAACAAATTATTAACGTTTAACAAAAAAACAAATACGTACCTACGAAAAATGTAATTATTCAATTATACGATAAGATTTTCATCGACTCACCATCAATGGGAATAAAATGGATGTGGTGCTAAACGATTTGATGATCCAAAGACACGCCAGACAAGTCAATTGTATAGCCGTGAAAATGTGGACGCGTTTTAATGGCACCTAACGAATAATATCGTTCGAATAATCGTGAAAAAGAAATGAAAAGAAAAAAAAAGAAAAACAAACAAACAAAATCAAATTATCGTAAATACAAAATATATTTGTGTCGGGAAGAAAAAAAAAAGAAATTCTTACCTGCCGAAGGAACATATAATCTGGTTGGTACTTCACCGGCATAAGCATGATGAGTATTCTATCGAAGAATTGTAATCCTTTTAAAGACGCAACACCCATATAAAGGAAGACACCGAACAGTACTGGCATTGGTATGTGTCTTAACATTGGCGTCAGTAAAACGGAGCAACCGATCATTAAGAAGATCAGTATGTGCGTAACTCTCTGTTCTCTGACACCTAAAAATTGTGGTTTTTCCCCTGGTGCCGCGCACTCCGATTCCAATTTCAACGAGTTAACGTGATTTATCGAAAGCACCGTGGCAGCTACGAACCATGGTAATCCCATAACCGAACAGATTTCGATCAGGATCGCCAGGATAAAAAGGTCCAGATGATAGCCGCATCCTTTCTGAACGATCATTCATATTTTTAATGATTAGTTTTATTGTTCAAATAATAACGAGGATGATGATACTGATACTGATGATGAAGATCATGATGATGATGATGATGATGATGATCGTGGTGGTGGTAATCGTAATACGAACGTATTTTATTACCTTTAATTTATTTTCTTTTCTATTAACGATCACCGCTGTGATCTGTTGATCCATAAAGATCAATATAGTGCCCAAGAGAGCTGGTAGAATAGCCACGATGGCGCTCCACCATGGATTATTCTGAAAAGGCCAAATCATCCATCCCCGGCCATCCAAGGTCGGTTTGAATTCTTCAGGTACTTCTAACTTTGGCGTTGGGATACCCACGAAGTGATCCAACAAGGACATAGAAAAGATTGCTATTATAACCGCAAAATCGCTGACCACTTGTCTGACCTATAAAAATAAAAATTTATTCAAATATAATCGCGAATAAACAATATATCTTTTATTATTAGTTTGTAAAATTACCTTAGATGGAAAGAAAAGAGCATTCTTAAAGTCCTTCATCTCGATGGATAACAAGAAGGTGCCCATGAAAAGGATAATTGACATGAGGAACACATCGGGTACAGGTTGCTGTATGTTACAACTATCTCCCATCAGCGTGCCATTGTAAATCTGAAAGAACCATATAACGAAGTTGTCTTGAAAAGTTTCTATCTCGGATCAAAGGATTAATTTTCTTTTTTGTTTCCTTTCATATTTTATTTCCCCTTTTTAAATCGTATCAAAACTTGTATTTATCACCAACGAAACCGGTCGTTAGAATGTCTTTGATCGTTTAAATCATAGTAATCGAAAATTTCCACGAACCTGGCACGTAGTCCGATTCATATTCGTCCAATTGACGTTCTCAGTGCCGTAAAGCGAACTATCGTTCGGTGGTTTGCACCAACAATCGTAAGCCAAGTGATCGTTGGCGTGAGTATTTATGGGATACTTTTTGCCAATCGAGAGGACGTTTTCCACAGCCTGCATTTGATCGTGAAAAATAAAAAAGAAAAAGAGAAAGGAAAAGGTTAGATAAAAGAAGAAGAAGAATAAGAATAAGTAGAATAAGAAGAATAAGAATAAGAAGAAGAAAAAAAATTTGATATATAAAATGTTTAGCAGTGATTTGGAAGCCCGAACCGTTCGATCGACCACGGTCGACCTAGATGTCGACGAAGGTTTTCGCTGATGGTGCAATTTTTTGAAGCACGCACACTTTAAGATATCCAATTAAGCTCATCGTGCATCCTATATGTTGTTTCAATATAATCGTAAGAGCGGATATGTAACACACACACACATACACATACACATACACATATGGTATGCTGTTTAGATATTCGATATATATAGTAAGATTAATGAATTACTAACCTTGTAAATAAAAATGAAAGCGATGAGGGTGGCAAAATTTTCTTCCGTAAAACGAGTTATGTAGCAGACGAAGGCGCTCGCGTCAAGGGCGACGAGGGTTAACAAAATGATGGCGGTCCACGTGCCGATCCAGAAACGAAATGACATGTAATTCCAATCGGATTGTTTGCAAAATTCAAATACGATTGTCTCGAAGACCAATACGGGACCGGTTGATCCAAGAATGGTTAACGGTTGTCCGGAGAAAAATCCGTATCCGAGTCCGCAAACGAAACCTGAGACCAATGATTCCATAGCGGCCATGTTTTTTCCCGTAGCTTCGCTGAGTAGACCACCGAAAGTGATGATAGGCGACAGACAGGCAAAATATAAGAAAATGAAGGATGCGACGCATTGCAATGCTAAAGCGTCTTTGAAATCGGAAAAGTAAAATGGCGCTTTTCTTTTGATATCGTTTATCAGCCCACCAAATAATCTTCCAGTTCTCGACAAACCAGATTCCTCTCTTTGCTTTTGTTCGTCGGCTTCTTCGTCAACTTCTTCTTTAGGTTTTTCCTCTTTCGGTCTTTTCCTAACTTCCTAAGAAAAATCATATAACATCAAAATCATTATTACGCGTAACAAGGAATACGTGAGTACATATTAATGAACGATTTATTGTATAAAGAAAGACGCTCTACTTGCGACGGAATGGCAGCTGGCGGTTCGATTCTAATCGTAGGATCCCATTCGCCCGGTGGTAAAACGGTAACAGCATCTAGAAACTCATCAATACCGGCAAGAAGGTGATTCCTATTTTTGGCCTTGTAAGCGACATCGTGGAAGACCTCGTCGGACATTAACGTCGCCATTGCTCGTCCAATTTCATGGAAACCCGAAATTCCACCCTACGAAATATTCATTTATCCCCCTTATTTAACCATACAATGTTTGTACACGCTCTCCAAAAAGGAGATTATTAAGTTTCGTTATAATTTCATTTATATATCGTACCATGGGTCCTAAAAGTACGAAAATAAATCTCGTTGGAACGGGTACCTCCGTAAGATCACCCATTATTCCTGCTTGACTGAGTCGTATGAAGGCGGACAAGGTCTTGTCAAGAAAATCAACTTCCCCTACGAGAATGTTACTGGCTTCCGCCCCCGCTGGTATTTTTCTCATAAAATGTGTATTACCCTACGATTTAAAAATATCTCTTTGTTCCATTTCAATTTTTTTTTTAATTAACTATAAATAAAAGAAAATCAAAAGCAACGGAAACTAACCCGATGATTGGCATCCCCATTTTCCAAAGCGGAAGAACTATGATTTCTGCTGATCGAAACGCTGCTAGGACTTCGATCGATTCCGTTGGCACCTGGTTCTTGTCCTGAAATTCATCTAGCTTACTGCTTACTGCTTTTTCTAGGTTTTTTTTTTTTTTTCTTTTATTGTTATAATATTTATTGTACCATCTTTAATCTCACGACAAGATGATCACTAACGGAATCCTTGGACAACAAAGCTTTGGGTATTTCATTTTTAAAAGCGTCGAAAGTTTCGAGAAGCTGCCATCGATTTCATGGGGAAGGGGCGAAGGGGGAAAGGGGTCTTTCGTTGACTGTAAATGTATGAGTAAATGTCAAGGATAGAATACGTTTGGAACAGCTTTTCGAAAGACTGTTCTAATACTACTATCGTAAATTTTCTCGACATTTTTATCACGAATAACAAAGGTAAAATACGATTCTGTTTCTGTTAAATGTCGTTTTACATTTTCATTCTACTACCAGGTAAAAATATGATTACGTATACAGTCAAGATAAACAACGTCCCATACAATAAAATGTTAAACTACGACCCTTTCAAATCAGAAATTTTAAAGTGCAAAAAGGTAAGGGCTTTATTTTCTATCTCGAGTTTCCTTAACGAGATTTTATATTTACAGAAGGAACGAACCCCTGTTATTAAAATTCTTTTCATAAATCGAGTGCAGCAACTCGTTGTCGTAGTTGTAGTTGTCGTCGTCGTCGTCGTCGTCAGTGTCTCACGTCGTATCTCAGTTTTCCCAAACAATAAATAAAACATTAATGGATAGTTAAAATAAATTATTACAATACAAGCAGATGGTATATTTATAATATGTAGAGATATGTATATGCGGGAATATGTTTGCTACGTGTGCTCATAAGTATTTCCTTTTACATGAGGAAAATAAATGCAGACAAGTGTTTGAAAAAATGATTGAACATCAAAAATGGTTGCTATGCAATGCATGCAATGAGTATGAGGTGTGTGTTAATTGTTTAGCAAGAAATGTTTAGAAAGTAGAATAGTAAAAATTTATAAAAAAAAAAAAGACATGAAGAGACAATGATAAGGATAATATTTAAAAGAAGGGAGCAAGCAGAGTAAAGCGGTTTACCGGGATTGCCGGGAATGGCAAGGAAACGGCCGCCAGCATTCATTGGTGCTCCACCGGCCTGATTTGTTGCACCGGCGATCGCCGGAACGGAATTTGATTCCTCCACTACAAATGAGCATGAAACACACACCAGGGTATTTTTTCTTTATTTACAAAGGAAGATAATACAATTCTACCGTGGTTCTCCGAATCTTATTACCGATAAAATACGTAACCCCCCCCCCTCACCTCCACCCCGTCGATTTATTCCAAATATAAATTCCTTTTACACGAATTTATTATTTTATTATTAACGAAAATTATATCTTCGCATAGTATAATAGAAAAATTATTCTATAAAGTGTAAATCATAAGAATATATTTATCGAATATCGAGAACAATTTTGAATACTATCGTATTAATTAATTAATAATTGTTGTTGTTCGTATTTCGAAAAACTAATTCGTGTCACGCGACACACTCGAAGTGAAAATCGTCTTTCGTGAAAATAACCATAAGCGTTATTTCGAACACGATGCTTTGCTTTGACGAGCATGTGATTGTTCAGTTGTTATGTAAGCCTTTTAAAAGCCACGGAAATACACGCACGCGATCTTACGAACGTAAATGCGGATCGAGAGTTTCTTTACGAATCGTTGCATTTATTCTGATTAAAAAAAAAAACAAAAAGAAAAAAAAGAAAAAACAAAAGTAATAAAAAGTTAGTAGGGTAAGAATCATTGGTTAATAATGGCCGTTCTATATTTTTCCACCGGATACATGATATACATCGAGGAGTCACGTGCGCATCACACAATAAGACCGAAACGTCATGCTTCTCACGATCCTAAAGTTTTGCAACGTTTCATAGTTAGTAAGTAGTGAAATGCGATACGAGTCAGACACGATGGGCCAACTCGTGTCAGAAACTTTTGTGATATTTCGTTAGAAATAAACAAAATATATTTATTTAACATACTCGAACCTGACGAGATAAAAAAAATATTATTAATAAATTACGTGTATAAATCAAAAATTATTCTAAACATTTAGAGATCAAATGTACGGACACATTTTTACACGGGATTACAATAAGAAATGGATAACAAAAAAAAAAATAAAATAAATAAAAAGATAGTGTTATAAGATAAAGATAGACCTGTGTGCATAATTCGTATATAATAACAAATTCATATCTATAGACAACAATGAAATGAATTGGACACTGTCTAACCTTTCAGCTGACACATGGCGAACCACGCCGTAAATCCCACCACGTGGGGTATGCCGATTTCGGCTTGCGCATAAACAAGAAATCGTCTAAATCAATAATTATATATTTTCATAGACAATTTATCGCGAGATACATTTTTATTTGAGTTAATCGTAAAACCCCATTTCCTTGATTCCTTCTTAATTCATTCGATTAAACGGCAATTGGAAACGAGTTTCGATAAGAACGGAGAATTGAGATTTGTAGGGTGTATTGTTAGAAGGGGTCGTATTAGTAATCAAATAAATAACGTTAGTCGATGATTACGTATACGATGAACAAACGATTAAGGATTAGCGTGATGAACAACGCGTTGTCGCGATTTTACAAATACAATTAAAAAATCAAGCGTTAACGAATATCCCAGTGAATAAACCAATACAGGCTTTAGCGGAACTGGCCTACGTTGTACCTGGTACCAGAAGGTAAGGCCCTTTGAGATCTTTAGCTTCTTTCGAAAGAAGGGCCGTGTTTGAGTTCGGACAACTGCTGCTACGGCCAACTGAGGGCGCATAGGCGTCCCCGGGTTCACGACGCTCCTGCAAATCTGATGTCAACAAGGCATGCATACCACATGTACAGCCGTTTTCTGGAAAATGTCGTTGTCCTGTCTTTAGCCCAATTTCTTTCAATTCTATTTTCTTTTCTTCTTTTTTTATTCATTTACCGACTCTTTATTGCATCGCGTTCCATTAAGCTTTGAATTATACAATAGGGGGAGGGGGTTTTAAACAAATATCGAAAGTATATAATTGAATTTCTTCATAATTTTAATAATGAAATAAATACGAAAGAAAAGTTATTTTTAACGTAAAGGATAATATAAAATAATGTTAAATGAACAAAAAAGTAAAGAATATAAAAGAGAAGAAAGAAATTAATATTGTTAAATAATGCACATACTTTGTTTCTTTATTCTGAAGTTCTATTTTCTTTTTTTCTCTTTCTCGTGAGCGAATCGAGCGCCTGAAAGTATGTGACCCCGCGTACGCGTGCGTATTAATCGTTACCTTTTTCTTTTTTTTTTTTTCCCCCAAGTACGGTTAAGTACGATACCGGGAGTATCATTAAAAGTTTGCCGTCTTTCATGGATGTTGTCTAACATAAGATGATTATATCCCCGGATTTATGGTAAAAGTAATTAAGTAGTAAATAAATATATATATATGTGTTACAGTAAATGCAATAATGTGACCAATCGAGTAAGACATTTTATAAATTGCCCGATCAATTTCTAGTTTGTACGATGTAGAAAAAAAATGGCATGTTCCCACCCTTCGTTCAACCCCCTTGCAACTCTTCTCAACTGATGTGAGTTAAATACTCGTTTCAATCTGACGCAACTCTGAAAAATCCCTGACAAAACTTGAAGGTAAGAAACTTTTATCGAAGCACATTTTAAAGATTAATCAAAACATGTTACTGACATTGTGTGGACAATCTATACAATGCCCATGGATTCTGTACATTTACCGTAACACACATACGTCATTTTCCTTATTTTTATTCAGATAAAAATTTCATTGGAATTATCGTAATATTAAAAAGAAAAAAATAAGATAAAATAACTTACTCTTCGAGGACGAATGATTACGGCCGATCTCTGCCAAGGATCTGATAATCGGTAATCTCGACATATTGTTGTCCTTGCGTCTTTCGTGCTGATGTCGATGTCTCACCAAAAGTGCTTCTCTTACCTTATATAGACAAGAAATAAAAAAGAAGAAAGATAAAACCAATTCGTAGTTCACGAGTTTGATCGAACTAGATGAAAATTTAACGCGAATAATATTTCTAAAATAAAATCGCATTTATCAAAGTATTCTAACCTTTTCTCGAGTCTCGATCGGTAGTGAACCTTTATTGATCATGTTATCCAAAGCCAAATCAGTTATCTGTTCGAGACTGTTGGCTTCCATGTCAAGCATAACAGTTCCATTCAAAAGTAAACTTCTCAATTCGAAGAGCGAGTGTAACGATAACGTTGCTACGTGTGGTTTGCTCCACCTGTTTCCACCTTCTTCAACGTCTTCCTCAAATTTGATCCACCTATTGTGAGAAATATAAAAATAAAATAGAACAAAATTGGATAGTTGTTTATAAATTCAATATTAAATTTTTCCAATCGTATCTATCAAAGAAACCAACAGGCAACAGGTATTCGAATATTACAGAATTGTGTCGATAAGAATTTATTAAGTAAACTAAACGTTATTTTTTTTTTTTGAAAAATTCACCAATGTTCTTCTACGTTTCTTTACACATTTGTACATCGTATCAATGGACGAATTGTGAATTCATTCGGATCTGTAAGGATACGCGCTCTGATATTATATAAATAGAATCGCAAAGAGTTAATTAAAAATAGTTGGTCGAGATTGGAATAAAAAAAAAAAAAAAAAAAAAAAAAAGGAATAAATAAATGATGATGCATTGCCTAGCGGTTTCCTTCCATTCCATTTCATCTCCATCCTTGACAAGTTCTTCCATTTCGGAAAATAGAGGATGCGATTCGTGAGCATCGTCCCCGACTTCCTCGCCGAGAATAAATTGCACTCTCTGGGCCGGTGGCGTGACTGAAAAAAACGGATATTACGTTTTTCAATGGTGGTACCGTTCGTTTCATTGAGATGAAAGAAAAGTAAAAAAGAACAACAACAAAAAAAAACAACAAAAGAAAGGAAGAAAGAAAGATGGTAGTACAACGTAGTACGAGAGATCTGAATTACAAAAAAAAAAAAAAAATAATAATAATAATAATAAAATACGTAACAACGCGAGAGTAATATATGAAACGCGATTTTAAAAATAAATATCGATTAAATTGTAAATGAATTATAAACGATGTGAAATTAAGTTTTTTTTTTTTTTTTTTGTATAATTATCGTGCTGTCTCCGATATATTATTCGCTTGTTCGAAAAGTAATTAATTTCGTTTTTTTTCTTAACATAGATTTCCTTCCCCACGAGTCTATCTATCGATACTTAAAGTCATACTTTAAATCTCGAAATTATTTGACATTGCAGCATTTATCGATCATATAAAAAAATACTTTGGATTTTCTATATGAAAAAAAAAAAAAAAAAAAAAAAAAAAAAATTCYATTTTTTTTTTGGGGTCAGAAATTTTCTATCGCATTGTTGTTTTATTGTTTTTTGTTTTTTTGTTCTTTTTCTATATAAAAAAAAAAAAAAAAAAAAATAGAAAATAATTCCCTTTTTTATTTATACCATTAGAAAAAACGTAATTACTTTTTGAACAATCAAATAAATATCTGTGGTAGTAATCGTGCAAAAATGCTTTTATGACGAAATTCGAATGAACTTTCGATTGTTACGGATCAACGTGAAACAAAAATTGGTACTCGTATAAAAAAATTGTTCAAAGGTGGTGCAAAATATATGCAAAAATAATGTGTCAAGTAAATAATTTCAAGTTCCACATCCTACGCGTAGAAAAAATTTGATATTTAAAAAAATCATCCCTTTAACATTTTTCGATCGAGTGATCCATGCTTAACACATTGACGAAATGTTGTTGATTTTCATCTTTTTTTTTTTTATAAAAAACGGTTGTTACGTTGTAATATATTTCTCTCGTATTTTATTTTAGATTTATTTAGTTTCTTAATCCCTATCCCATCCCCCAGTCAACAAACTTTCTTCTTACCTCAGTGTACAAAATAATATGACATAATCGAATTGGTGTATAAAATTGCATACATGATCGTTGTTTGTGTATAATAATCTAACGATAATTCGAATAGAGAATAAAAAGTGATTAAAGATAATGGTACGAAAAAACGTTATAGTAATTATAATTATAATAATAATTATATATACACATATATATATGTATATGTATACGTGCATAAAACGATACGTATAATTGGGGAGACTTTTGTTTTTTTTTTGTTTTTTTTTTTTAAAAGGATCTGGCTTACATATCATCTCGCCGTCGGGGTCGCAAATGCTCGCGAGACGAGACCTGCGCTTCATCACCAATTGTCCTGCAATGTCAGTAGACAAAAAAACACGACAAAGAGACATCTACACAACGTTGTCAAAAAAAAAAATAATAAATCAAAATCATCAAACGATATCTCCCTTTTCGTATTCTCCTAAAAGCTCGATTACAAATTCGAACCTTTTAATTCTTTTTTTTTCTCTTTCGACAATGTTTCCTTCTTTTTTCCGTTTCATTTTGTTCGTCGTTGATCGAGCTTGAAGAAGATAGGAAGTTAGGGCTGTGGACTGCGCGGGGTGGGGGGGAGTGGAGCTTGGGAAGTAAAGGGGGATAAAAAGTTGAGTCCGCTTTTATGCACAATTTCGTTTTCATCGATAGAGGGATCTATCTATCTGAACGAACGCGATCGAATCTTCTACAAAATTTCTTTTCGATACCATCCGTAACTATACCAGAAGAAAAAAGAACTTACCTAAGCGCATAAAAGCGGCCAATCATGTTAAACGTGTACATCATTTAATATCTACAAACTTGTTCTGATTGATTTTTCAAATCGATTTCAACGCTAGACTATGCATCTCGCATTGTTTCTTCTTCCTTTGTTAAGGAAAGAGAGAGGAAAAGAGAGTAAGAAAGTAAGAGAGAGAGAGAGAGAGAGAAGGAAGAAAATGAAAAAGGGCAAAAGTAAAAAAGGAACAAAACAAAAGAAGAAGGGATAAAGAAAGTGGAAAGCCGTTACGACGATAACCTCCTCGAAGAATTAGGTTGAAAAGTCTTTTTTAAAAAAGAAAAGACAAAAAGAGAAAAAATGAAGAGAAAGAGAAAGAGAGAGAAAGAGAGAGAGAGAGAAGAGTATCGATCAGCGTCCTGCATACTCGGTGTGCCAGAAGAAGGGTGAATACCCGTCCGAGTCTCGTACAAGTGGTTGGCGCTTTGCCACGCGCCGCTTCAAAGTGCATTGCAACGAGTGCAACGAGTGCAACGAAGACCAACGATCCTCTCTCTCTCTCTTATCTCATTCTTTTCTCTCCTCTTTCTACGTCTAACGTTTATATATACGTTCCTTCTTCTTTTTATTATTATTATTTTTCTTTTTCGTATTCTATTTACCCTAAAAACGTTCAAAAAACTTTGTTCTACTAAACAAGACCGTAACGTACATAGTACAAGCGCCCTTTTTTGGGTTTTTTCTTTTTTTTTTTTTGTATTTTGCTTTCAATTTATTCCGTTCTTAATGCTGGAAAATTAAATTGACGACGACGACGAGGACGAATTTAATTGTAAGTAAGAAAAGAAAAAAAAAAAAGAAGTAGAAAAGAGAAAAAGGTGTAAATAAAAATGAGATCGTAATAATAATAATAATAATAATAATAATAATAATTCAACTTACTGGGTCTGTCGTTGTCGGTATCATCGTTACTCTCCCCATAAGATTGCCGTTGGGAATGATGGTGTTTATGATGACGACGGTGTCTTCTCTCTCCGGGTAAATGTACACCCACATAGACCGTGTGTGCTCGGTGACCTGTAAGCAGATGAAAGTGTGGAGTCGTCTATATCGAACCCGTTGTGTTGTTCCGTGATTAACAATTATGCTCGGATAATTCTAACCGTATATATAGTATATATAGTATATATATATATTATATATCATTTCTATTACCATCGAATATTCGATATATTTAGTAATCTGACATTATCCTATGTTTAAAGGAAAAATCGATAAATATCGTAACGTTAACGATACCCAACAAAAAAAATTTAGTACATTAGTGTAATAGGTAATCATTCTGTAACACGTTAAATATGTTCGTGTTAAAAATACCGTGTTGTGTTAAACCGTGTAGAATTCATTGTACCCCTTCGTATTATTATTTTAAGATAATTTAGTTTTGTAAATATGTTAAGCAAATATCATCTTATCTAGTGCTGTAAAAGGTACACTAATGTATCACTAAAAAGTTTGTCGCAATTTTATGAATCATGCTATAACGAACCCGTGTTATAATAGTGCTACCTGTATATATATATATATATACAAGTGAATATCCATATGGTGTTACTTTTCTATATGGTTAAAAATTGTTAGACCGAAAACGACCTCATTTCGATGAACTCGTTCATCCGCGTCTTACCTATGATTATAAACAGAGAAATAACGATTTTTGAAGCACCTACTGTCCTAAGTGAGCAAACAACGAAGCCAGATATTCGTATAACAGCTGACCTATGCGCGTGGAAAGGTATTATTAGCGATTAAGAGGGAGTCCTTCATACTTTCAAACCCCACATTCCTCACCCCCCCCCCCTACCCTCCTCGAATATATCCTATATTCCTCTTTGGATTCTAGGTTAGGGCTGAGACCTTGAATTTCACGATAAATAGATATCTTACCTTCGTAATCCTTCTCGGTGTAGGATTGGTGGGTGATACGAGCACCTGGATCTTTCGGTGCCTCATCGTCGGCTATACCAGCCACGTGGGTTGCACCACCACCCCCTCCTCCTCCTCCTCCTCCTCCTCCTCCACCTCTTCCTCCTCTTCCTCCTCTACCGCCACCCCCTCCATCACCTACTCCAATCCCAGGCTGCATCCACGGTCTGACAATTAAAAAGATTGTATCGTTCTTTTTTATTCCCTCACCTCCTTCTTCTTCTCACCCCCCCCCACCCTCCACCGAGACTTTCTTCGTTCATCCCCGTCAACACAAAAGGGAGATTATTAAAATAAATGAGAAAGTCTGGTTCGCTTGGTTCATTTATAAAAATCCTCGTTCATTCCTCAAGGGATCGTTGAAAGATTTCTCAAAGACGTTGTATCATTCGTATAAGCAATAACAGGTCAACGAACTATATCCCCTTTAATCATTTCATTTCCTTTGCGGAAAACGTTGAAAGCGTCTGATTCTTTGACTCATCGTCTACCCGTCTACCAATTTTCTACTTGTTCGAATTTTATCCCATCCACCGTGATCTTTACCCAACCAACCCACGTTTTTATTAGTTTATCGTACACACCGGTATAATTAAGTTTTCATTTCACTTATTGCATTACATCTATTCTCGTATATTTAATTGTTTTGACATATCTGATTTATACGTATCTATCTCACGATGATTCTCGTTCTATTATATGATGTTAAAGAGAGAGAGAGAGAGAGAGAGAGGAAGGGGGGAAATGATTGTATTAAAAGATAAGGATGTTACGTAACATGAAATATAATAATATCCGAACAGTTGATTTTCTATTCTAATTATATCTTTTATCGTGTAATATAATTATTATAATCGTATTCAATTCTAGATCGTCAATTTCGTATTTTAGTTAGAAACCGCGTGACACATATAAATTTTACACGCCCACCACGTTAAAGTTTCCTTCTTTTCACGACTCGTCCATCCGTTAATGTAATACTACACGATAATGAATTTAAAACGTTTCAAAGTTAATACGAATCTTTGTGAAAATGTTTCAGTTATCTCGCATAGAGAATTGTCTCATCTAATTTATATTAATATTACAATTCAATCATTTTGATAACGATCGATAATAAAAAAAAAAAATAAAATAAATAAAAATATGAAAATATTGTAATAATAATACGATATAGGACTCACGTTTTTTCCCCAAGTAATTTGTCTCTCATGTTATAATATTATAATTCGTCGACACACACTCGTACGATGATGAATTATTTTTTACAATGAAATCTACGACAACGCAACGCAACGCAACGAAACACAATCAACTTCTTTGGGAAATGGAAGGAAAATAAAATTCGATGGATAAAATAGAAACGCTTGTTCGATGATCGAATCGAATCTAATCGAAGCGTGAAATTTGTCTTATAAGAAAATTTCAAGGATACAACGACCAACTTTTTCTTTTATAAATGGAAATAAAATAAAATATGTAAAATGAATTCGATGTTTGTCAGATGCAACGTTACGTAGGAGTAATACCTAGAATAAAAGGTTTCAATAATAACGAAGTATGCCGATCGACGTTTGTCCGAACAATGGACGACACTGTTAGAATGAACATGACAATACTGTGCATTTGAACAAAAGTTATGGAAATTAAATTAGTATAATAATTATCATAGAGATGTTCTAGAACTGTTGAAAAGAAAATTGTGTTAATCAAATAAACATGATTTCTATTATTTTAACTATGAACGTTCTAATTCGGTCTTCTTAAGATAAAATTATAATCATTTTTTAAGGATAAAACGTTTAAATAAATATTTCTTCAATATCATAGCGTACGACGTGTGTTACATTGCGATGTATAATTTAAACGCAGATCTCATTGATATATATACATCGTTTTATCGCATGGAAATAATCAAATAAAATGTTACGCAAGTGTATTTAAAGTTGCATTAAAATTCGTATCTTTCGTCGAAATAAGAAAATAACACGCGGTTAGAAAATTATTCTTACGTGACGCGAGATATATATTGTGTGTGATATTATAAATCGTGATGTTAAAATTTTCCAGTTTTACGAAGATTCCTATTTTTTTTTCTTTTTTTTCTTTCCCTTCCCATGAGTTAATAATAAAATCTCGAATAATTAATCGAAATTTATCACGTATACATTTTATCGGTGTATCTTTTCTTCGATACGTTTCTTCCTCTTCATTTTCTTTCTTCAATAACGAGAATTAACAATGATCGATCTTATCTTTTGGTAAATTATCATTATGCTAATCGGTATTTATTTTTCACAGGTGCTACGCAAACGAGCGTCCTTTTACGAAATTTATCTACAAATAATATTTGAATATTACGTGGGGGGATGATGTTGAAACTTGTAAAAGTAACAGAGATAATAACTTGTCGTAGATAAGAGCAACTATAACAACGACGAGAATGACGACAACGATGATGATGATAATAATGATGATTATTATGATAACGATGATGATGATGATGATGGTGGTAATGACGATAACGTTACATGTAACACTTGTAAATTGATTTACGACCGGATCTGGTCAGCTGGTTTTGTCATTAAATCTTAGGTGAGATAGGAATGTTTGAGTTACCGAGAAAATAGGAATTATTTTTTTTGTGTTAAATAACATAGTCACGAAATAGACAAATCTTATTTGTAATAAGTTCGAATGAACTTGTTAACGAAGTAAACGAAGAAGAAGAAGAAGAGGATAGAATCTAATAATTTAATTCCTTTCTAGATCCCTTAGTGAGAGGATATTGAAACTGAATTAATCAAGACGCGTATTAGACTTTTATTATTCTTTTTCTTTTTTTTTTTTTATATAACAAGAAAGAACACCCTCATCAAAGTTTCGTAACAACAATCTTATCATTTTCGGAACATGACATTTTGCGATAAGGGTAATGAAACCCAATGGCGGATCGTTAACTTTTAGAGCCCCACGTGTTAACACTGTTTGAAGATTTATTCAATTAATCCAAATGAATCGAAGTTAAAGTTAGTTTCAGACGACTACATTTTGCCATTTCGTCGACAAAAAATTATTATCGAATAGAGAAAGTTATAAACTAATTTATTATGTTAGATCCATTTTTGGGTATACCGATATCCGATATTTCGATTCGTATTCGATTAGAATTGCATTTAAACGATTAAAAATATATTACAATTTTATACAAATATAACATAAATCATTTCTATATATATATATATAGATTTTCAATTAAAATTGTTTTTACTATTATTCGTTTTATTGCAATTTTTGTAGATTTCGATTTAACATAACTCACGAATTGTAACCCATAAAGATCGTACTTCATATCAATCCGTCTGCCCTTGACCAAAACTTTTATCAAAATTAGATATAAATAGAAATAATTTACTTACGAGATATCTGTGTGTGTGTCGGGACAAAAATTTGGACGATTATTAATAAGAATTCAAATACGTTGATGTGTGTCACGTTAATAATGTCTCTTGTAATTTCTAAAAGCTTTGATTGACGTTACGATAAAAGCAAACTTCTTCTTATAGTATTATCTTAACGACTGCACATGTAATCCGATCGTTAAAAATCGGTGTACGACGAGAAACATTAACATCTGCGAGACAAGTGGTTAACGTATGGTTAAAACATCCTATGTTGTAACAGTTGTCGAAAACGATTCGAATTGCGATCGATCTTACGATTCGATTTATCGAACGAAGGACACACAAATTAACGAAATGTCAAGATCGTGAGTTGGTGATCCATGATAACAAACGAAGATCGGCACCCGTCAAGTGGATAATTACCGTGCTACGATTACCTACGTCTACCTATCTAGCATGCTTTGGCATAATGAATGTCTATCTCGTTCATATAACGCGTCTCTACTAATAAAGGATGGAGAATGAGAAGGGAGGAAAGAGGGGCGGGGAGAGGAGGGGGGGGGAGAGGAACGTGTAACCGAACGTTGATCATTTAATTGTCGGAGGAGGTCGTTCGGCACGTTTGTCAAGAGTTTACAAGGAAAAAAAAATATAATAATCCATCGGAGATACTAATCCTTAGTATGATCATCCCGATGATCGTCTAATTCTACTTATATTTAAACGGAATGTATATATA